CAAGCGATCACGCGAATGGTAACTAGAAGAAACCATCGCCCAAAATGGCCATGAATGTGGTTTTTCCCGCTCGCGCTAAGCTAAATTGACGAATCATGAAATACCAATTTCTGAGACGTTTTCTGAACTCCGGGTAATCTACTAACGAGGAGCTGAGCCAAATTATTTTAACACAGTGCAATGATTTTGTTCAGCGCTTGTTTTCAACATTGATTTTATCCAATTCTACCTTACAGCGAGGGCGAAAATTATAAAACCTTTTCGAAATTCAAGAGATTATGAGAGCATTAACCCTAAACTCCTTGCGACCAGACGTTCAGGGCTTGTTTATAATATTTGGGTTAAGTATATCGTTATTTATTTTTCCAACGGTTTTAGCCTTGTCGCAAGGTTGATTTTTTCTGAATCGCATGCCATCTGAAAGGGTTCTATATTTTTGGCACAAAGACACAACCGAAATATACAAACATAAATTTCAGAACGTGCGGTTCAGAATGTGTCGATTGTATTACATCGGTACAAAAACACGCACATACGTGCTAATTATCTTGATTCGGAAAATGTGCGTGGTAGGCAGAACGCGATGAGTCAGGATTCGTAAAAAAAAAAAATTCGCGCGAGCGCAAAAAATCTGAAACAAGGTCATTTCGTGCGATGGTTTCGTCTAGTTACCATTCGCGTGATCGCTTGGCAGTGTATAGTTACCAAACACGTGAAACGAGTTACCAAACGCGTTAAAACTGATTGTAATGGTTACCGTACGCGTTCTAGGGCCCCATATAAGTTACCATTGACATAATTGCCCGGATTTCAAAGACATCAAATGTATATTTTCCACACGGTCAGCGCAGGGTGTGTGTCAGTGACCTACGCAATTTTGTTGCGCGATAATTCTTCGTCGCCGACACTTTGTTTAGGTCACCGCACCGACCCCTACTCCCCCACACTGACGAGATTTGTTCGCGAAAGTACTGACATCTACTCGCTGAACTCGCCGAATCGCTGACAAAAGTTCCCGCGCCCGCAAAGGACCCAACCAAACATTGTTCCCCAAATTCGCGTTCCGGACATTACTAGAATGTGCCCTGACCAGGATGCCCGAAGCGCATGAAGAAATTCAGAATTCAGAATGTGCTTGTCTCTGATCCACGCTCCCCGCCTTCAGCCTCGTATCAGATGATCAGATCCCTTGCACCAAGTTCACTCGCCGTCGCCACCCCACTGTGTGCATGTTGGCTGCTCGGTGCTCGCTGCCAGTGTTGGTATTTGGGAGAGCCTCGGACATTCCGTTGGACTTGCAGGGACAAAAGATATTGCCGAGATCATCGTGCGTTCATAAGGTCGGAGAGACGAACCTGCATTAGTGTCTAATAGCCAATACGAGTATCTTTCCTTCTTGAGCACTTACCTCTTTCCGTAGAGCCACTAATCCCAAACTTCGACTCCAGTCCCTCCAGCGATTATTGCACAGCACCAAACCCTCGCTTCTCACATCCCATCGCGACCAATGGCCTCTCGGCATCTGGTGCTGCTTGGTCTTGTTCTCGCTGTAGTCTGCATCGGTAAGACACCTTGATTTACCACACTATACGCGCTCATAAACCGCAAAGCAAGCCATCCTTGCACACCTGATTTCAAGACTAAATCCTTTCTGCCATCTACCTCCCTTAACTCTCCCTATCTCGTTCCTTTTCTCCTCACGTCTGCCCCGCCCGTGTTCCTTACGATGCAGGCTCGGCGGACGCTAAGACAATAACAGTGGGGCAGGGAACTGACATCTGGACTTTCCTCAGCCCGTGGGCGTATGGCGTATCTTCGTGGAAGCAACCCACCGTCGTGGCCGGCGACGTACTCGGTAAGAGGCGATTCATGTTTATGTACTACGGTATCCGCGGATTGCACCTGCTGATCATGCGCCAAAACGCATATTAAGGTCCAGCTGTTCTGCATGGGCACATTCGACCTGCTCGCACTGAGAGAAAAGGCCGTGCGCTACGCTGCACTACATTGCACCGCATTGCACTACGCTGCACTACACTGCACCGGATTGCACCACGCTGCACTGCACTCCGGTGGAGTGCGTCTGATAAGCTCCGCGCGGCACGGGCTATAACACGTCTTCGTTCGCATTGTCACGGCCCGTATCCCCACTCGGCCCACTGAAACCTGTCTCCCAAGCCCCACGGATTCTTTGGCACTATCGCACACCCACCCATTTTTCCCTCACTCTCTCCTCACACGCCATTCCCCTCCGCCCTCCCCACGCCCATCTCCGCTATACAGTGTTCCGCTGGATCGGCATGCGAAACGTGCGACAGTGGGCGACGCCGCTTGGTTACACCGCGTGCTGGTTCGGTTTCGCCAAGACGGTGGCCCCGCAGGGGTACTGGGGAATGATTCGTTACACAGTTGCGCCCACTGAGTCGCGAACGACGCTGTATTTCGGCAGCAGCATCGGCGACGACTGCGCGCGCAACATCAAAGTTCGCATCAACGTGTCGTGAGCTGCGATGCCTGCGAATCCTGCGACCGCCGCAACTTGTGCGACTGTTGCGACCGCTGCGGCGACCCAGGGGTGGGATCAAGGTCGCAATGAGTGTGTTTTTAGTGCCGGGCTGACAAGAAGGCTGCGAGTGAGGTGCGATGAGGAGGGGGCAAATGCGGAGCTAGAGCGAGGAATTTAGTGCGTGAGGGAGCGAGTGAAAGTCTGCGGCTGCGGCCGCCTCCCTTCGACTTCTCGCCCTTGGTGCCCTTTGGTAGGAGGAGCCCGAGACTGAGTGGCACATAATCCGTGTGCTGGCCCCACGCCTTGTAGCTAGATAGCACTGGAGAATTCTTGCTCTGCAGCATGGTAACAATGTCACTACACAAGTCAATCTACAAACATATTCGCTTGTACCTTCAGACAGGCCCCCCTTAGCTTGCAACCTTCAATCTGGCTCAAATGTCAACTAATCACACCATCAAGGAGCACTACAACAGTGATAAGTAGTGAAGAACAGAGCCTTCACCTTTGCTCGAATGTCAACTAATCACACCATAAAGAAGCACACTAGTATACTGAAGAGCTCAATGCTCATCTACCAAACTGCAACACTAAGGGCGTGTTCCTACACCTCATATCAGACATGCCTCGTATCAGCTTCGCGTGGTGAAGTACGATTTAGTGTGTTCGACTGCGGTTGGATGCGTTTTTGTGCGGCTCGACGCGAAGTTGATACGAGGTTGCCTGATATGAGGCGGTAGGAACACATCAGACCAAGGCCTTGTTCGATAGCTTTGAAGTCCAGGGGAACACAGTCCTATCAAAGTGTTGCGTGGCTCGGGAATGGCTCGGCTGCTGCAAACTAGGGCTTTAAACCTCACGAGAGGTTAGGCGGACCCAAACCAGAACCTCAAGTACGTTCGGCACACCTACGAATCTGGTGCGGTAATTTTAGCTGCAAACCGCGGTCCATGCGCTACACCGACGTGCTCTACGTACCTGGTTTGAAGTCCAATCTCCTCTCTTACTGTCAGCTGCTGCAGTACTTCACGGGCAAAAAATACTTGGTTTCAGCTGGCTGCACCAACGACAGCCTCCCCAATGCCACTTTGAAGGTGTAAACATTTCGGGCAGAAATTGTGTAGAAACATTTGTACCCTAAAACGTTTGGTGTACAGTTTCCCGTAAAGCAGCTGATTATTGTTTTTTGAAACGCGTTTGTGTTCGAGGGTACACTGGGATTTGTTTTTTTTCATCTTTCAAATACCCAGCAGTGAGTTTTCCGAAGTTCACCACATGCTATTTTGGAATTTTGTGAACAGTTTCTCGTATCTGATTTTGCTAGAATTAATTGAATTGCGCACTGTGTAAGTTTTTTTTATCGGTTGACTACGCGGTTCTGACTGTTGGGACTTGGGCTGTTCGGGCAGCTGTCAAAACTGTTAACCAAGTCAAGTTGCATCTGGAAGGTAGTGACCCCAGATTCGGACACCCTAGGCCGACTTGGCTATACTTTGGTGGGGCTGTACAAAAGAATGAAGTGCAATCGAACATGGCCCAAAGAGCATGCAATCGGCGCCATTCAGGTCTCGCGCAGCGGAGCCTTCATGTTGACTCGAATGTCATCAGGAGCACCTTCACTCGCTGCTGCACTCCCTTTTGCACCCTCCTTGCTCTTTCCCTTCGTGCGATCTTCGAATTCAGCTAAAAAAACAAGAATCACAATCATTCAAAGCTTACGCAGCAGCGCCTTCACCTTGGCTCGAATGTCATCAGGAACACTCACACTCACACTCGCTGCAACATTCCCCTTGATTCCCCCCCACGACATTTCTCTTTCCATTCTTGCAACCTTTAAGTTCACTTCAAAAAGCAGGACATCATGTTCCATTAGAGCTTATGCAGTAGGGCCCTCACCTTGGCTCGAATGTCATCAGGAACACTCACACTCGCTGCAACATTCCCCTCCGCACCCATCTTGCTCTCGCCCATCTCCCTTACCCCCTGTTTTTTCTCCTCTTCACGTGACTCCCTTTTCACGCCAAATGCAGGTTCAGATGCTCTCTCCTTCCCACCACCTTTCCTCTGTTCTTCCCTTGGTTTCGCCTTGACTGTATGTATACTCTCCTTTCCCTTGCCCTCTCCTCTCATGCGCTTTCCTTCAGGAGACACTGACCTCTTTTTTTTCACCCTCTCCCTCTCTATATCGTCTTCCTTTTCCCTCTTCCCCTCCCCTCTCTTTTCCCTCTCCCCTCCCCCCCTCTCCCTTCCCCTCTTCCCTTCCCTCTCCTCTGCCTTCTTCCCCTTCCCATCGCCTCTCCCTTTCCTCTCCTTTTCCTTTATCCTTGTTATAGGAGAACTCGACATAGACCGCCCACACCGTTCCCTCTCATCTCTGTCACTCCCCTCACTAGAACGCTCACGCCTTTTCCTCTTGTCACCACCACTCCCTTTTCCTAAGTGCCCACGGCTTCTCCTCATGCCCGCAGCTTTTCCTAAGTGCCCGCGGCTTTTCCTAAGTGACCGAGAGGGAGATGAGGGGGACGAGGACCTAGAGGAAAACGAGGAGGAAGGGGAGGAGGATGGGGAGGAATGAGAAGCGATGGAGCGAGAAGGGGATGATGATGTTGACAAGGAGGGAGACCGGGACAAGGATGGGGAGTGTGAGTGAGAGCGCTTAATTTTCTTCCGGACGAGCTTTGCCTTGCGTTCCCTGCTTCGATTGCGCTCCTTGCTTGGTTTGTGTTCCCTACTTGGCTTGCGTACCCGGCTGGAATCTCGGCTGCTTGCAGGGCTGCTCTTCCTTCTTCCTATCCTCTTTCTTCCGTCTCCTCCTTTGCTTCCGCCTCTCCTTTCTCTTCTTACTCCCCTTCCTCTGCTTCCTCTGCTTCCTCTGCTTTCGCTGCTTCTTCTGCTATCCCCACTTTGACTGCGTTCTCTGCTTCCCTGGCTATAACTGCTTTTGCTGCTGCTCCTTCGAGGCTCTTCAACCCTCCTCTTTCCACTCCCCATCTCCTTTTTCCTCGACCTCCCCCTTTCCGTCCCATCCTCCTCCCCGTCCTCCCTTCTCTCCTCTTCATCGCTCCTCTCCCCCTCCTCCCTGCTCTCCTCTTTCCCCACTGCACAACCTGCTTCTGCCTCTCCCTTCAATCCAACTTTCCCCTTCCCCATCTTAACCGATCCACTTTCCACTCCATTAACCTCTGCCTTTGCCCCTCCAAATGCTCCTCCCGTTGCTCCTTTGCTTGCGCTCCCTCCTCCCCCTCCACCCTTCCCAACGCCAGCATCAACCTGTCCTGACAAGCCAAGAAGGGGCAGTGCCTTGGCCACTGCTGCTGCTGCAGCTGCCGCCGCTGCCGCCAGAGCATCCTCAGCCCCTTGCGTCGTTACACCACCACTGCCCCCTACTGCTGCCGCATCAGTGCCCCCGCCCCTTTCTGTGGGAACGCCAGCGGCAGCAGCACTGCTCCCTGCAGCAGACGTACAGACTACTGCAGCACCGGCTGTAGAGGTGAGCATGGCAGAGAACAGCTTTGCCTTGCGCCTTCTCTCCAGCCGCCTCTGCTCCTCTGCTGTTAGTTCCTCAACAGCCCCTCCTTGCACCGCAGCAGCACCAGCAGCAGCAGAACCACCATCAGCAGCAGCAGCAGCAGCAGCAGCAGCACCGGAACCACCAGGAGCAGCAGCAGTAGGAATGAGAGATGGAGGAGGGGCCACACCAGTGACAGTAGCGTGAGGAGCAGCAGAAGGTGCAGCAGATAATTCAGCAGCAGATTGACCAGCAGGACGAGCAGACCCCTGCCCAGTGACTGACCTGCCTGGTCCACTCCCGGGCCTCCTTCCCCTCAGAATCTCCAACACTGCTGCAGCGCTCATGCGGTTACCACCTGTGTTACCAGCACCTGAACCAGCAGCAGCACGAGCACCAGCACTAGCACCACCAGCAGCACCTTTCCCCCCGGCTCCACCCTCTTCCTCTCCAAACACCAAAGCAGCAGCCTTGGCGGGTGCAGCAGCGGGTGAAACAGAGGGAGCAGTGGAAGTGGCAGCAGCACCGTTTGTTGCTGCAGCAGCTGGAAGGGCAGAAGAAGCGGTGTGAGAGGAGGGAAGGAGGAATCTGCTCGTCGCTGCACGCACTGCTGCTGCCACTGCTGCGGTACTGAGCCTACCACCAGCCACAGCTGCCCCCTTTGCTGCTTCTCTGCTCCCCTCCTCTTCCTTATCACCCCCTCCTTCTCCTCCCTTCTTTCCCTTCTCTCCCTTCTCTCCCTTCTCTCCCTCCTCTCCCTCCCCCTCACTCACAATCTCCCCACTCTCCCCCTCCTCATCCGACTCTTGCACGCCCCTTTTCTTGCCCCTCTTCCCTCCCGCCTGCCCTCGTATCTCCCCTTCCTCTCCCTCGCTCCCACTCCCCTCCCCACCCTTGGTCCCCTCCTCTCCCTCACTCTCACTCCCCTCCCCACCCTTTCCACCCTCAGCTCCCTCCCCCTTCTCCTCTCCCCTCTCCCTCTCACGCTCCTCCTCCCCTCCCTCCGCCTCACCACCCCTACCAGACTCCCCTCCCGCTAGAGTCACATCTCTTAGAACCACACCCGCCTCTGCCTCCCTCAGTTTGCGGACAGCAGGCACGGGCAGCTTCCCGGGAAGGACAGCAGTGGGGGGGCGAGGACGAGGGGGCGGTTGTGGCATCAACACCAGAGGAGCATTGGCGCGCTGTGGGGGCGAAGGACAGAAAAGGAGAAGGGGGAGAGGATTGGGGATAGAGGGGAAGAACGGAAGCAATGAGACTGAGACAAGCAGGCACGGGCAGTTTGCCTGGCAGTACGGCAGTGGGGGGGCGAGGGCAGGGGGGCGGCTGATGCATCAACACAAGAGGAGCATTGGCGCGCTGTGGGGGGGAGGATGGGGGTGGTGGAAGGGGAAAACAAGGGGCAGGAGGCGGAATGAGAGGGAGACATGCAGGCACGGGCAGTTTGCCGGGCAGCACGGCAGTGGGGGGGCCGAGGGCGGGGGGGCGGCTGATGCATCAGCACCAGAGAGGCATTGGCGCGCTGTGGGGGGGAAGGGAATGTGGGGACAGGATAAGAGGCGGATAGGAAAGGAGACAAGGAAGAGGACAGGGGGGAGCAAGAATGAGATTGTGGCAGGAAGAGGAGAAGGACAGGCAGTTTTCCTGGCAGCATGGCAGTGGGGGCCCGAGCTCGAGGGGATGGCTGAGGCATCAACACAAGAGGGGCATTGGCGCGCTGTGGTGGAGGAGGTGAGGGGCAGGAAAGGGGGGAAAGGGGAGAAGGAGGGGAGGAGCGAGAGAGAGGCATGCAGGCACGGGCAGTTCGCCTGGTAGGACCGCAGTGGGGGGGCGAGGGCGAGGGGGTGGCTGTGGCATCAACACCAGAGGGGCATTGGCGTGCTGTGGGGGGGAAGAGGGGGATGGGAAAGGGGGATAAGAAAGGGTGGAATGGAATGAGATAAGCACATCCAGTTCCAGGAACGGGAAGTTTTCCAGGCAGGCAGCACGGGAGGGGCTGATGCACAAGCAGTCCGACTGGGAGGGCGGAAATGGGAGTGGTACACAACGTATTCCACCATCCTTGATTGAAGCTGCAGGGTCGTGTTTTGAGTCGACTCAAAACACACGTATTCCACTGCCCTTGATTGAAGCTGCAGGGTCGTGTTTGAAGTCGACTCAAAACACGCCTGGGATGGCGGAAATGGGTGTGGTACACAACGTATTCCACCACCCTTGAAGCTGCAGGGTGTTTTTGGAAATACTCAAAAGCCAACCCGCAACTCCGAGGGGCTGTTGCACACAATGTACGCCTCCACTCCACCTTCCCCACCACTCCCCTCCACCTTCCCCACCACTCCCCTCCACCTTCCCCACCACTCCACTCCACCTTCCCCACCACACCCCTCCACCTTCCCCGCCACTCCACTCCACCTTCCCCACCACACCCCTCCACCTTCCCCGCCACTCCACTCCACCTCCCCCACCACTCCCCTCCACCTTCCCCGCCACTCCACTCCACCTTCCCCACCACACCACTCCACCTTCCCCGCCACACCCCTCCACCTTCCCCGCCACACCACTCCACCTTCCCCACCACACCCAGCATCACTCCAGCAACTAGACTCTGAACCCTAAACAGTAAACCACCACAAACCCTGAACCCTAATTTCTAGACCTTACACCCTCACCCCTCCTGCAGGCGGGTCCTGTCCCTGACTCCACACACTCTCACCTGCAGAGCCTTTTGCAGTGTGCGTGCGCTGGTAGTAACTGTTAACTGTAACTGTAACTGTAACTGGCAGGAGAAACTCCTGTAACTGTATAAGGGGCCTCCTGGCGACATGAAGGAGGAGGAGGACTAACCCTGATGATTCTGTCCCACTCAGTCCCTCACATACTCACCACTAGCGCAGGCAGCCCAAACCCCCCTGTCATTCCACACTCCCTCTCGCCTCCAGAGCCTCCTTTAGGGTGCGCTGGTGGTAGGCGTGGAAGAGATACCATACCCAGGCAATAAGAACGGGTAGCGCCCCTCCCCCGCATCCCGCTGCTAACATTAGAATAGGCCAGCCCAACCCCGCATGCACTCACCCCTCTCCCAATCTCACCTCCAGAGCGTCCTTGAGTGTTCGCTGGTAGTAGCTGCGAAAACGGGTCTCCCGGCAAGAGAAACGGGGAGCGCCCCTCTCCAGCGTCCCTCTGCCGCACAATGCTCTAAAACTCGTGCCCGTTGCGCACTATAAACCCCACCATCTTCCCCACAAACCCCCGCTCCCAACATAGCACCTGAAGACTAAACCCTGAGCCCTTTATGTCTCCTGCCCCTGACTCCACAAACTCTCACTCACCTCCAGAGCTTCCTTCAGTGTTCGTTGGTAGTAGGCGTGAAAGCGGTCCCCAGGCAATAAGAAAGGGAAGCACCCCTCCCCCGCGTCCCTCTGCCGCACAATGCTCTCAAACTCATGCCCGTTGCGCACTATGAATTCCACCCCATCTTCCCCACCACCCGACACACCCACTTTAGCAGCAAAGCCTTTGATTCTAACCCTAAACCTGAAACCCTCACCTCCTAAGTCTTGTGTTCCTGACGCCACACAATCTCACCTCTAGAGCTTCTTTCAGTGTGCGCTGGTAGTAGGCGTGGAAGCGGTCTCCTGGCAGCAGGAAGGGAAAGCGCCCCTCCCCAGCGTCCCTCTGCCGCACAATGCTCTCAAACTCGTGCCCGTTGCGCACTATAAATTCCACCATCTTCCCCACCACCCCCCGCACCGACTCGGGCACTTCGCCTGCCTCCTCCCCTCCAGTCGCCCCTGGTGCTACTCGTCCTCCTCCTTCTCCGCCTGCTTCTTTCGCTCCTCCCTCCGCCCCTTCATCACCTTCCTCTCCTTCCTCTCCTGCCTCTCCCTCCCCTCCTCCTTGATCTGCCCTCCCTGCTTCTTCTCCTGTCTCCATCCCAGGAGGGGGGGGCTCATCTGAAACCACTGGAGGCTCAACTGGGGGAGGCTGTTCTGAGAGAGGCTGTTGTTCTGGGAAGGCACTATCCTGTGCAGGGATCTCAGACCCACCTTCCCCACGTCCCTCCTCCGCCATCTCCTCCGCTGCTTCAGCAGGTTCTGACTCAGTGAACCACCTACTTCCCTCCACTCCCTCGATAACTCTTTCCCCGGTAACCCTTTCCTCAGATGCTCCATCTTCCTCCGCTGGTTCCCCCTGTTGCCTTTCGCTCCCCTCTCTGCTGGCTCCTTCTCTCCCTTCATCCTCCCCCTCTTCCTCCTCTTTCCCCTTCCTCCCCTCAACTCCCTCCTCCCTCTCCTGCTCTTCCTTCCCTTCCTCCTTACCCTCCTCCTTCTCCCCATCCTCCTCATCCTCCCCATAAGCAGCACCAAGCAGCGAGACAGCGCTCCCCCTCTCCACACTCACCCTCCCGCCCCTCTCACCTCCTACTCTCCCCTGCCCCTCACCCACACCCACCCCTTCCTTCCCTCCCTTCGCCCCACCCTCACCCTCCTCTCCCGGCTGATGCATCAGCACCAGAGAGGCATTGGCGCGCTGTGGGGGGGAAGGGAATGTGGGGACAGGATAAGAGGCGGATAGGAAAGGAGACAAGGAAGAGGACAGGGGGGAGCAAGAATGAGATTGTGGCAGGAAGAGGAGAAGGACAGGCAGTTTTCCTGGCAGCATGGCAGTGGGGGCCCGAGCTCGAGGGGATGGCTGAGGCATCAACACAAGAGGGGCATTGGCGCGCTGTGGTGGAGGAGGTGAGGGGCAGGAATGGGGGGAAAGGGGAGAAGGAGGGGAGGAGCGAGAGAGAGGCATGCAGGCACGGGCAGTTCGCCTGGTAGGACCGCAGTGGCGGGGCGAGGGCGAGGGGGTGGTGGAAGGGGAAAGCAAGGGGCAGGAGGCGGACTGAGAGAGAGGCATGCAGGCACGGGCAGTTCGCCTGGTAGGACCGCAGTGGGGGGGCGAGGGCGAGGGGGTGGCTGTGGCATCAACACCAGAGGGGCATTGGCGTGCTGTGGGGGGGAAGAGGGGGATGGGAAAGGGGGATAAGAAAGGGTGGAATGGAATGAGATAAGCACATCCAGTTCCAGGAACGGGAAGTTTTCCAGGCAGGCAGCACGGGAGGGGCTGATGCACAAGCAGTCCGACTGGGAGGGCGGAAATGGGAGTGGTACACAACGTATTCCACCATCCTTGATTGAAGCTGCAGGGTCGTGTTTTGAGTCGACTCAAAACACACGTATTCCACTGCCCTTGATTGAAGCTGCAGGGTCGTGTTTGAAGTCGACTCAAAACACGCCTGGGATGGCGGAAATGGGTGTGGTACACAACGTATTCCACCACCCTTGAAGCTGCAGGGTGTTTTTGGAAATACTCAAAAGCCAACCCGCAACTCCGAGGGGCTGTTGCACACAATGTACGCCTCCACTCCACCTTCCCCACCACTCCCCTCCACCTTCCCCACCACTCCCCTCCACCTTCCCCACCACTCCACTCCACCTTCCCCACCACACCCCTCCACCTTCCCCGCCACTCCACTCCACCTTCCCCACCACACCCCTCCACCTTCCCCGCCACTCCACTCCACCTTCCCCACCACTCCCCTCCACCTTCCCCGCCACTCCACTCCACCTTCCCCACCACACCACTCCACCTTCCCCGCCACACCCCTCCACCTTCCCCGCCACACCACTCCACCTTCCCCACCACACCCAGCATCACTCCAGCAACTAGACTCTGAACCCTAAACAGTAAACCACCACAAACCCTGAACCCTAATTTCTAAACCTTACACCCTCACCCCTCCCCCAGGCGGGTCCTGTCCCTGACTCCACACACTCTCACCTGCAGAGCCTTGTGCAGTGTGCGTGCGCTGGTAGTAACTGTTAAAGGGGCCTCCTGGCGACATGGAGGAGGAGGAGGACTAACCCTGATGATTCTGTCCCACTCAGTCCCTCACATACTCACCACTAGCGCAGGCAGCCCAAACCCCCCTGTCATTCCACACTCCCTCTCGCCTCCAGAGCCTCCTTTAGGGTGCGCTGGTGGTAGGCGTGGAAGAGATACCATACCCAGGCAATAAGAACGGGTAGCGCCCCTCCCCCGCATCCCGCTGCTAACATTAGAATAGGCCAGCCCAACCCCGCATGCACTCACCCCTCTCCCAATCTCACCTCCAGAGCCTCCTTGAGTGTTCGCTGGTAGTAGCTGCGAAAACGGGTCTCCCGGCAAGAGAAACGGGGAGCGCCCCTCTCCAGCGTCCCTCTGCCGCACAATGCTCTAAAACTCGTGCCCGTTGCGCACTATAAACCCCACCATCTTCCCCACAAACCCCCGCTCCCAACATAGCACCTGAAGACTAAACCCTGAGCCCTTTATGTCTCCTGCCCCTGACTCCACAAACTCTCACTCACCTCCAGAGCTTCCTTCAGTGTTCGTTGGTAGTAGGCGTGAAAGCGGTCCCCAGGCAATAAGAAAGGGAAGCACCCCTCCCCCGCGTCCCTCTGCCGCACAATGCTCTCAAACTCATGCCCGTTGCGCACTATGAATTCCACCCCATCTTCCCCACCACCCGACACACCCACTTTAGCAGCAAAGCCTTTGATTCTAACCCTAAACCTGAAACCCTCACCTCCTAAGTCTTGTGTTCCTGACGCCACACAATCTCACCTCTAGAGCTTCTTTCAGTGTGCGCTGGTAGTAGGCGTGGAAGCAGTCTCCTGGCAGCAGGAAGGGAAAGCGCCCCTCCCCAGCGTCCCTCTGCCGCACAATGCTCTCAAACTCGTGCCCGTTGCGCACTATAAATTCCACCATCTTCCCCACCACCCCCCGCACCGACTCGGGCACTTCGCCTGCCTCCTCCCCTCCTGTCGCCCCTGGTGCTACTCGTCCTCCTCCTTCTCCGCCTGCTTCTTTCGCTCCTCCCTCCGCCCCTTCATCACCTTCCTCTCCTTCCTCTCCCGCCTCTCCCTCCCCTCCTCCTTGATCTGCCCTCCCTGCTTCTTCTCCTGTCTCCATCCCAGGAGGGGGGGGCTCATCTGAAACCACTGGAGGCTCAACTGGGGGAGGCTGTTCTGAGAGAGGCTGTTGTTCTGGGAAGGCACTATCCTGTGCAGGGATCTCAGACCCACCTTCCCCACGTCCCTCCTCCGCCATCTCCTCCGCTGCTTCAGCAGGTTCTGACTCAGTGAACCACCTACTTCCCTCCACTCCCTCGATAACTCTTTCCCCGGTAACCCTTTCCTCAGATGCTCCATCTTCCTCCGCTGGTTCCCCCTGTTGCCTTTCGCTCCCCTCTCTGCTGGCTCCTTCTCTCCCTTCATCCTCCCCCTCTTCCTCCTCTTTCCCCTTCCTCCCCTCAACTCCCTCCTCCCTCTCCTGCTCTTCCTTCCCTTCCTCCTTACCCTCCTCCTTCTCCCCATCCTCCTCATCCTCCCCATAAGCAGCACCAAGCAGCGAGACAGCGCTCCCCCTCTCCACACTCACCCTCCCGCCCCTCTCACCTCCTACTCTCCCCTGCCCCTCACCCACACCCACCCCTTCCTTCCCTCCCTTCGCCCCACCCTCTCCCTCCTCTCCCTTCCCTTCCCCCTGCCCCTTCCCCTTTCCCTTCCCCCCTTCCCCTACCAACTGAGGATTTGCTACTAGGAACCGGAAGAAGGGGTGTAAGGAGTGGTCAGGGGAGAGGAAGGCGAAGGCGGGATTGCTCTTTTGCTTCACTCGCAGCACAATCTCTGCCTGTGCGCCCGCCTTTCGTATGAATGCAGCAGTGCGCGCCATTATGGTGTAAACCTTTTCGGTTGGAGGCTGGAGAACGGGGCGGGGAGGGGGGATGGAAGAGGGGTTGAGGGGTTGGGTGAGAGAGAGGAAGGCGAAGGAAGCGTTGCCCTTGTGCTTCACTCGCAGCACAATCTCTGCCTGTGCGCCCGCCTTCCGTATGAATGAAGCAGTCCGCACCATTATGGTGTAAATCTTTTCAGTTGGGGGCTGGGAAAAATAAGGAAGGGGAACAGGAGATGGGTGGGGGAGGAAAAGGGGAATGGGAGTAATGAGAAGAGTGGGGAAGGAAAAGGGGAAAAGGAGTAATGAGAAAGGGGGGCGGAAGGGAGGAACGGGGGTGCAAGGAGTTGTCAGGGAAGAGGAAGGCGAAGGCAGGCAGGATTAGCCTTGTGCTTCACTCGCAGCACAATCTCTGCCTGTGCGCCCGCCTTCCTCACAAATGAAGCAGTACGAGCCATGATGGTGTAAATCTTTTCAGTTGGGGGCTGGGAAAAATAAGGAAGGGGAATAGGAGATGGGTGGGGGAGGAAAAGGGGAATGGGAGTAATGAGAAAAGGGGGTGGAGGGGAGGAACGGGGGTCTAAGGTAAGGAGTGGTCAGGGGAGAGGAAGGCGAAGGGGGGGTTGCCCTTGTGCTTCACTCGCAGCACGATCTCTGCCTGTGCGCCCGCCTTTCTCACAAACGATGCTGTGCGGGCCATTATGGTGTACACCTTTTCTGTTGGGGGCTGGAGAACGGGGGGAAAGGAAGAGGGTGTGAGGGGTTGGATGAGAGGAAGGCGAAGGGGGGGTTGCCCTTGTGCTTCACTCGCAGCACGATCTCTGCCTGTGCGCCCGCCTTTCGTATGAATGAAGCAGTCCGCACCATTATGGTGTATACTTTCTCTGATGGGGGCTGGGAAACCATCAGCAAGGGGTACGGGAGGGGGGATGTGAAGACAAAGGGGAATGGGCGGAAGGAAAGAAACGGGTTTATCAGAAAGAGAAACCGGAAGAACAGGTGGAGAGGTTGGTGAGGGGAGAGTTCTTGAGACGTCTCATAAGGTCTGTATTATCACGTGGAAACTGGAGGAACAGGTGGAGCGGGTGGTCAGGGTCGCTTTTGAGAGTTCTCAAACGCGACTCAGATTTAGATGTTCAGGGGAGAGTTTTTGAGATGTCTCATAACGTCTGTATTATCACGTGGAAACTGGAGGAACAGGTGGTCAGGGGAGAGGCGAAGAAGGATTGCCCTTGTGCTTCACGCGCAGCACAATCTCCGCCCGTGCGCCCGCCTTCCTCTCAAACCCCAAAAAGGAATGGTGGAACATACCAGGCATTGCTGAAGCTCTGGGGGCACTGCAAAGGGCGGTACAACACCGCTGCCTTTGCCTTCCCCTGCTGCTTCTCCTGTTGTTGCTGCTGCTGCAGCTGCTCCTGCTGATGCTTGTGCATCACCACCTTCACCAGCAGAAGCAGCCTTGTGAGGAGACGATGGGAGGGTTCCTTGCTGCTCATCAGGGGCTGCAGAGGAGGCGTAGTTGAAGGCGACAGCTGCATAGGCGGGGCGAGTGGGCGTCTGGGACGCTGGACGAGTGAAGGGAGAGAAAAGAAGACGGGGGGAGGAGAGGGAACGCAAGAAGAAGGGAGAAACAAAAGGGAGGATTGAAGTGAAGCGGGAGGAGCAGAGGCGGAAGAGACACAAGGAGAGCAACTGCGAAGAAACGTGCAGAGCAAATGTAGAGTGATAAGGGAAAACATCAAACGATTTCTGTTCGCTAAGGAATAATCAACTAGAGTACAAAAATCCTCACAGATACGCCGGAAGAGAACTGCTGCTGGAAGAACCTGCACTATGGAGAAAGGATGGAGAGGGGAAAATGTAACTTAGTGGAAATATTGTAACAGAAAGCTTGAATGCTAGAGGAAATGGAAAGGGACGAAAAATAGGAGGCTGGATAGGGGCAGGGCGGAACATCAGTGAACTGGCAATTAAATAGCATGGGGGACGAAAAAGACAGAATGAACTCCACAGCAACTCCAGAGCCAAAATGAGGGTGGTGTGGTGGACACTGGACAGCCCTGGTATAATGGAATGTGCGATTACTTCGCTCTTCCTGTTTTCTTTGTTTCGTGCAGTAATGAGTTGAAGCATACAAGCATCTTGATGGTACATGATCGGGCATGAGCTTTGGGAAGGGAAGCTTCTGAGACAGAGAGCAGGTGAGAAGCAAAAGAGCCCGTTAGCACAGACACATAACACATGCAAGCTGTGGTTCCCAGAAAGCACAAGCCTCGTACCCTGCCCATGCCCAGCAACATTCTCTGATGCTGCCGCTGCCACGGCGAATCCTCCTCCTCTGCGCCTAGCTGCCCTCCCCCACACATCCTCCGCCCCCCCAGCCGCTTCCTCTTTTTTCTGCGCCTCTGCCGCTGCTGCCTTCCGCCTCTCCTCTTTCTCAACCATATCCAGCTCTACATATCTCTCCTTCTCCACCTCCTCCTCCTCCCCACCTTCCCCTGCGTCCCCTCCCCCTCTCCCCCCTCCTCGTCCCCCCTTTTTCCGCCTGATAGTTTTAAGATCGTCCAATAGATGCCTGACATCAAAGCGGTCTATCATTAGAGAATCTTCCCCTTTCCAGGGAAGCAGCCCGCCGCCGCCCGCCACGTCAGCTGACACGTCATCGTCCTCGTGGATAAGGCACGGCCGGCCGACCAATGAGAGCTCGTTCGGGGCGGGAGCGCAGGCCTTTACTTGACGGGAAAGCCAGGCAGGTTCTTCGAATTGCGGCGGCTGCTGCTGCTGGTGCAGATGCTGCTGCCGGCGATGCTGCTGCTGCTTTCGCGATCCGCGTTGGTACTGCTGGTGCGGCTGGTACGAAGAGCCTTGCTCGTACGGATACTGTTGATACGAACTCTGCTGTTGAAACGGTTCATCTTGGTAAGACCCACCATCCTCGTATGCGTACGTATCTCCGTACGCAGCAGGGGAGGGGGAACGACGCGCGGCACAGGCGTAAGCTGCAGGGGAAGGGGAACGGCGAGCAGCGCCGGTGTAAGCTGCGGCTGCAGCTGCAGTGCTTGGGTACGTATCCCCGTACGCAGCAGGCGAAGGAGAACGACGAGCAGCGCCGCTGTAAGCTGCAGCTGTAGCGCTAGGGCCAGCAGGAGCATCGGAGGATGGGTACTGAAACGGGTGATCATCACGGCCTGATGGGGGGTTGGTAGGAGATTTTCTCCACATGGCTGCGCGCGATGCTCTTCTGAAGAGTCTGACTACACACGCTTTCTAACTCTCGACCAGACAAAACGCTTCTGATTATAGCCTTCCAAATTCACCACGTGACTGTGCGCGATAATCTTCTCGAAACACGCTCTCTAGCGACGCTTTCTGATCGTCGATCTGGAGACAGGATTTCGTTGATCTGACCGCTACGTAGGAGAATGGGAGGCTAGCACACGTCAGATACGCTGGTTGTTACGTAGGCTGGATAACTACGCTGACGGCAAACTCCCGAACCGCTTAGTTTGCCAACTTTATCGAGTTCCAATCTCGCAATTCTAATAACCTTTTTATGACAGTACCGTACTTCGTAAAAGGCTATTGCCGTGCAGGCGAGCAACGCAGAGGTGTGTGATGTGAAGGCCCAAGAATGCTCCACGAACAAGGTGAAGGCGTGAGGAGAAATCGAGGGGTGAAGGAAAACAAGGTAAAATCGAGGGACATTGGGGGGACAAGGAGGGAAGAAGCGGATTTTCCGGTGTTCCCAAACCATGTGACACATGCCCAAAAGCATACATTTAGTAAAAACACGGGGTCTTACGACATTAGGAGCCAACAAGGGAATACTTACGTAACACACGAGCACTGAGAGTTTCGAACTCTCGAGGGCAGAGCCGATGTACTTAGCAGGCACACGCCATAACCACTCGGCCAAATGCCCTTGTCTCTGATGGGCAACTCATTATATTTATAAAGATAAAACAAAGTGGATTTTCTGGTGTCCCCAAACCAGGTGACACATGCCAAAAGAAAACATTTAGTAAAAATACGACAACTTACTCCATCCGGAGCCAAAAGGGACACCATTGATATAACCTCGAGCACTGAGAGATTCGAACTCTCGCGGGCAGAGCCCATGTACTTAGCAGGCACACGCCTTAACCACTCGGCCAAATGCTCTTGATTTTACAAGTTTGTTAATAATTTCTTACTTTAATTGTTATTATTGTTTATCCTGTAAACCTGGTAGAAGCATGGTAGATCCAATTTACTTCAACACCACCGTACTAAGTGCCGGACTGTATGCACCTAGGCATTTAGAAGCGTAAGCCTTAGCGAAACATGACATTGCTGTTGCTCTATTGCACATTATTCCCTCTTTCACTCCCTCCTCTCCAGCCTTTGCCTCCCCTTCTACCCGTCCGCTCCCTCCTCAGTCTCGGTGCGGTAGCAAACAGCCAGGTACAGCCAGGTGATAAGCATCCAGCTGCCAGTACTTGCTGCTCTACTGAATTTCCACACCCTCTTTTCCCTCCCTTTCCTCCTCCCCCTCCCCCACTTCACCCTCCTCTCCCTCACCACGGTAGCAAAACAGGCAGGTGACAAGCATCCAGCTGCCAGTACCTGTGCCGCACCCCTGGCCTCCTTAACAGCTGTAGCCTTTATTCCCCCCCACTCCTACCCCTCCTCTCCCTTCTCCCCCTCCTCCCCCTCCTCTGTCTCATCGTGGTAGCAAACAGGCAGGTGGTAAGCATCCAGCTGCCAGTACCTGTGCCACACCCCCGCCCTCGTACCTATGCCTCACCCCCGCCCAGGCAGGTGGTAGCAAACGGGCAGGTAGTAAGCATCCAGCTGCCAGTACCTGTGCCGCACCCCCGCCCTCCCTTACTGCACTTCCCCACCCTTTATTCCCCCTTCTCCCCTTCCACTTCCTCTGCACGGTAGCAAACGGGCAGGTGATAGGCATCCAGCTGCCAGTACCTATGCCGCACCCCCGCCCACGTACCTATGCCTCCTCCCCCTCCTCTCCCTCCTGTTGTTCCTTCTCCTCCTCCCCCCCCTCCTCTGTCTCATCACGGTAGCAAACGGGCAGGTGATAGGCGTCTAGCTGCCAGTACTTATGCCGCACCCCCGCCCACGTGGCCCCATCCAAGCACCGGCTGACCGGCAGGGGAATGAACTGAGTGGTCAGCCCCACGTGCTGCTGCAGCTCCAACGCTACTATGTGGCAGTAGACGGTGTGGAAGAAGGCGTTGTCGCCACACATGCCGTTGAAAAAGGAGTAGAGGCCGGAGGGCTTCAGAAGCTGAGGCAGGTGCGAGTGGAATTCCCGCAGATCATCATAGTATTCTCCATACGTGTCAAAGAATATGCCTGCTTTGACAGAAATGAATGCAGGGAGATGGAGGGAGAGGGAAGGATGGACAAGGAAAGGGAGGGGCAAGAAGAAGCAGAGGGATTGAGAGGCAACACATGTGGCAGTAGACCAGACAGTGTGGAAGAAGGCGTTGTCGCCACACATGCCGTTGAATAAGGAGTAGAGGCCGCTGGGCTTGAGGAGGCGCGGCAGGTGGGAATGGAATTCACGCAGCTCGTCGTAGCATTCTCCATATGTGTCAAAGAATATGCCTGCATGGATGGGAGCCACACGTTAAGGGAGAGGCACGACAAAACAATGGGAGAAGAAGGCAGGCATGGGGTGAGGCGCCTCAACTGTGGGAGAAGAAGGCATGATGACTGCACTGCACGTGCTAGCAGCTGTGGTATGAGGCGCCTCAACTCAAAAGATGACTTGCCAGCAGCCTACCATCCTGCCATCTCCCTTCCACTGTCTGCTGTGGGAAACCACCAGCAGACAGAAGAAACTGCACCAAATACACCATGTGCAGAAGGTGTATTACCAGCTGTACCCTGAATATTCACCGTCGTATTGCCCTAGTTGCGGTACCACGTCCTGCCATCTCCCTTCAACCACCCTCGCTCCCTCCATCTCATGCCATCCTTCCCCTACCAACTATACTGCCCCAGAAAAAAACAATTCCAATTACACCGTGTGCAGAAGGGGTATCAACACTTGTGCCCAAAATAACTCACCGTCGTATTGCCCCAGTTGTGGTAACACGTCCTGCCATCTCCCCTCCACCACCCTCACTCCCTCCCTCTCATGCCACCCCTCCCCCTTCATCCTCGCTATAACGTCCGGATGCGCTTCCACTATAGTGTGCGATCGAATGCCGCCCTCCGACTGGCCGATGCGTGCTGCAATGGCTGTGTCTATAATACCCATGCCAAAGCCAATGTTGAGAATATCCCCTCCCTGGACGGTTAGAGAGGGAGAAGGAAGGGTTGGGAGAGGTTGGGAGCGGTTGGGAAAGGCTAGCATGGGAGAAGCATGGGAACAACTCAACAGTCAGCTTGCGTGTGCCCTGCTGCACACAACGAAACACAATGCCCACCTGCTGGCAGATGGCTTGCGCGTGGGCTTGCATGAGAGCCCTTTCCCATTGCATTATCATGAATGAACCCGCCTCTCCCCATCCACCCAACAAACCGACTCAGCACATTCAACACCAGTCCCCATCCCCCCCTCCCCATCCACCAGTCGACCTGCCTACATTTACAATCTAAAACACCTGGCACCGCACAGCACCGTGCCCACCTGTTGGCAGATGGCTTGCGCGTGGGCTTGCATAAGAGCCCCCTCCCACTTCATCATCACTCCCCCTCCCTCCCCGTCCACCAATCGGCTTTCAGACAGCTGCAGTCGCTCCGACAGGTAGGCGGCATTTGAGGCAGGTGCTGACTGCTCCGCTGCTCCTGCTGCTGTGCTGCCACGTGTCAGGTTCCTACTGGCTGCCCCCAGAATGAGCTCTGATTTGATGCCTGTACAAGGGAACAATGCGTGAGAGATGGGGTAAAGGGAGGATAGGCAGGAAAGGGAAGGAAAAGAAAGGAAAGGAAAGGAAAGGAAAGGGAAGGAAGGGAAAGGAAGGGAAAGGAAGGGAAGGGAAGGGAAGAAGAAGGGAAGGCAAGGAGAGGAAAGGAAAGGAAAGGGGAGGAAAGGAAAGGAAAGGGGAGGAAAGAACGGAAAGGAAAGGAACATGGGGGAAGGGGACATGGGGGATAGCTGCAGCCGCTTCAACAGTTAGGCTGCATTTGGGCCAGGTATCAACAGCTCTGCTACTCCTGCTCCTGTTGCACTTGCTGCTGTGCTGCCACGTGTCAGGTTCCTACTGGCTCTTCGAGAATGAGCTCTGATTTGACGCCTATCTCCCACCCTTGCCCCTTCCCCAATCCCCTTTCCCCACCCCCCCCCATGTTCACACTATGCCAAATGCCCCCCAGCACCCCAGCAGCACGCACACTGTTTCCAGATCTGAAAGATCTCTCAGCAGCAGAACGAGGTGACTTTTGAGTGCAGAACGATTCGACTCAAAAGTTATCTCCCAGCAGCAGAACCCCCACCATTTCCGCCCTCCCCCCCCCCACCCAAGTCACCTCTTCCTCTTCCTCCCCCCGATGCTCACCTCCCCCCGCCATCCCCTGACCCCCTTGATACACAACACAGCCTTATCAGCATCAATCAGTGTATCCAACACCTCTTGTCATCTCGCTTTCGCTTCGTTTTTCTCCTCCTCCTCTTCCGCCCCCTCCCCCCACGCCACCACCCCTTCCATTGCATAGTCCCCTGCGCTCTTCCCCCCCATATCCACCGCATTCCACACCGCCCCCCCCTCCCAGCAGCGCCCACACCACCTCCGCCCTCTCCCCTCCCCAGCCTCCAATAAGCCACTTAGGACTTACCAGCATCAATCAGTGTATCTAGCACTTCTTGTCGTCTCGTTCTTTCCTCTTCGTTTTTCTCCTCCTCCCCCTCCGCCCCCTCCCCCCACGCCACCACCCCTTCCATTGCATAGTCCCCTGCGCTCTTCCCCCCCATATCCACCGCATTCCACACCGCCCCTTCCCCCAGTAGCGCCCGCACCACGTCCGCCCTCCCCCCTTCCGCCGCCGCCATCAGGGCTGTCTTCCCCTGCGCGTCCACGTCAGCATACGCCACGTCAGCGCCTTCTCTGGGGGTTTGAGAAGACGGGTTTTGGGTGGGGGGGGAAGGGACGTGTGGGAAGAGAGGGCGGGAAGAGGAATGACGAAGGAGGGCATGGAGGGAGGGGGGAAAATGAGGGGGTAAAAGGGGGCATAGGGGAGAAATGGGGCCGGGGGAAGCGGGAATGGGGAGATAGGGGGAGGGTGAGAAGGGAGGGAGGGGGGGAGGCGGGAGGGGAGGCGGAGTGGGGGTGGTTTGTGGAGGAAGGTGGGGAAGAGGAGGGGAGACGTAAAGGGAAAGCGGGAGAGGATTGAAAGTGCTGAGTATGAGAGGATTGGGGAGGAGTGCTCTATACCGGCGCTAGTTATGACAGGGTTGAGGGTTTCAGGTTGAAGGTTTCGCTTATTTCATCGCGGTCGTACGGCGCAGCGAGCATACAAGCCCAGCGATCACGGATTTGAATCGCGGTTGTGCCGCCCAGACAGCAATTTCCCTAGTTACTGTACGAGGAAACCATTAGACGGGCCTCACTTGATGAGTCGCAGTACTGTAGTTAAATCGCCCTCGCGCGACGCTTCTATCAGCTGCCGATTCTTTGCCACGTCAGCCTCGGAGGTCTCTGCGTCAGCCATTGGCTGGCGATTCCTCGCCCCGTCAGCTTCGAGGTACCCGCGTCAGGCAAAGATGAGCGGCTAGTCGGTCGGAGCCAGGCTGGCGGTGGAAGATGTCAGTGAGTTGAAATAAACTAGCGATTTATCGCCTCTGACAAACAGCTTTCTATCGCATAAAACCGCAATAATGAAATTTGCCCGGCCCGTGTCGCTGGTAGATTCTGGGCACGATGTACGCGTCTGGTAGATTCTGATACATGTAGTGGTATTGACACGTACGGTGATAAATCAAACCTTGCTCGTTATTTCCAAAAGACAGGTGCTATATGGTAATACAAGTAATTAGCAACACGATGATGAGTTTTTGCCATGTCTTGATTTATTTTCTCCATCAGTGCAATAATTTCTCAAAATCAAACTTGTTGTACTAACAAAGACCGCAGATTAAATATACTAGTGATACGGAATACTCCAGTGCTTACACCTTGGGGTAAAGTACAGTATCGGAGTAAAACGTGTCGAAGCCTGGTGACTGGAAACTCCAGATAGCCTCATCATTAGCACTCTAAGCTGCCAGGCTTTTTGCATAGCCTAGAGATCCTACTGAGCCTCTAGTGTGTCGCTGCGTGTATCCACTACCCCTTCCTGGATTATTCCCCTGCCGTCATTTTACGACGTATTTACTCTTAGTAGGAATCAGGGTTTCTCGAGGGTTTGTCGCAATTTGTCGTTTTGTATGAGTGGGCGGATGCTGGTTTACTTTCGCGGGTTAATTATGCAAGGGCGAGACTGCGTTTCTCGCGATTGAGAGACTAATATCGACTAGATTGGTTATTCGTTATCGAGGTGTTTTGAGCGACTGCTTTGGTGACTCGTTATAGAGCGGAGCATGGGTGCCATCGCTCGGATCGAGCCGGGAGGGACAACAAAACGGCGAGTCGCGGAAGACAGCCAATGTCAGTGCGCGCCGATTTGAACGTCAGCATCATCTCTCCTCTAAATACTCTTGTTTCTATTCCCCTCGTCTTATTCAGCCGCCCGGCTTCCCCTTTCTCCTCCCTTTCTTGTTCCCGTCCTTTTCCTCGTCCCTTTCCCGCTCATTTTTCTCTGAAATCCTTTCTTCAGTCTTTTGAGTCGACTCAAAAGTCACCTTTCCCCGCCCATTTTTCTCTGAAATCCGTTCTTCAGTCTTTTGAGTCGACTCAAAAGTCACCCCATTTTTCTCTGAAATCCGTTCTTCAGTCTTCGATCATCTCGTGGACCTCATACCGCTGCGCCACTACCTCCCGTCGCAAGCTGACTCTGTCGCCCTGGTACGCGTTATAAGCTGTTTCTGTCGCCCTGATACGCGTTATAAGAAGAATTTGTCGCGCTAACGCGTTACAAAGCTTACTCTGTCGCTTCCGTAGGCGCTATAAGCTGACTCTGTTGCACTGACTCTGTTATGAGAACGTCCCAATCTCCACGGTACTTGAATATTATGCGCTGATGTCACTTTCGCACTTATATGGCGTGCTAGTTACCAAGCTACCCGAGCAAGCATTGCGTTTAACCTTTTCTTTTCCGATTGTTCCTTACCGTGTCCACTCCTTACCGAGTACAGAAGTATGAGAAGGTGGAGGGCGGCAAGGCAGAGGCGAAACGGGCAGCTAAGGAGCAGTCGAAGAAAGCAAAGAGGCTCAAGGTGAGACGACGAGAGTTGAGATCATTTGAGTCGAGGCGATGAAAATTCGAAGGAGAGCGAAGGGAGCTGAGGGGAGATGAAGTGATTTGATGTGAGGAAAATGCTTAGTTCAACATCTCCCTGGTTCTTCCCCTGCTTCCGCCCAGCTTCTACTCCTCCTAGTCCCTTCTCTCTTAGCCGAATCTTGGCTAGAAGGTGAAGCATCCGCATGCAGAGGCAATGGACCATGGACCGCCCAACCTTAAACCCTAAACCTCCAACCCGAAACCTCGATCCTTCAACTCACATCGTGTTCGTCTTGCATGTTCCACCCCCTTGCCTTCAGCTCACCCTCACACTCGCAGCTCCGCCGTCCCCGCATTTCCTCTCCCCCTCTCCCGCTTCTTCCCCTTTCCTTCCTGCCTCCCCCCCTTCCCCCCCGCTTCTCTCCCTCCTCCGTAGTTGGGCCCTGCAGCAACGCAGCTCACTCCTTGGGCGCTGCAGGCTAATCCAGGCGCTTCAAACTCCGCTTTGTCCTCCTTCCCCTCCCCCTACCCACTCCCCCTTTTCTCTCCTCTTCCCCCCTCCCCCAGTTGGACCCCGCAGCAGCGCAGCGCACCTCCCAACCTCCCAGGCGTGGAGGCGAAGTTCACCCCCTCTGGCTTGCTAGCAAGCAAGATTAACACCCCCCCCACTCTTTCCCCCCCCCCTCTCCCCTCCCTCTCTCTCCCCCCCCCCCCCCCCCCCCCCCCCCAGCTGGACCCAGCAGCAGCGCAGCGCACCTCCCAGGCGCTGCAGGCGCGGCAGCAGCAGCAGGAGCAGGGGGGAGGGCGCGGGTTGGCGGGCGGATTCGGGGGAGGTGGTTTCGGGTCAGGGGGAGGGGGAGCCGGAGGGGATGGGAAGAAGAGCGGGAAGGGGGAGATGGACGATCCGATGGATCAACTGCTGAAAGAAGCAGGTGAGAGAGCGGTGATGCGCGGTGGGAGGTGGTGGGGAGTGATGACGCAAGGTGGTGGGTGGTGCTGGCTGCCAGTGCTGGTGGATTTGAAGTTAGGGGGGGGGAGGGAAGAAAGGGGGGAAGGGAGGAAGGGAGGAAGGGCGGAAAGGGGGAGATGGACGATCCGATGGATAGCTGCTGAAGGAAGCAGGTGAGAGAGCGGTGCTGAGTGGTGGGAGGCAGTGGGGGAGGGAGGGGAGTGGTGCAAGGGTGGGTGTTGGTGCTTCTAGTGCTGGTCGATTTTTATCGGGGTGAAGGGGAAGGGAAGAAGGGCGGGAAAGAGGAGATGGACCAGCTGTTGAAGGAAGCAGGTGAGAGAGCGATGATTCGCGGTGGGAGTGGTGGGGAGGAGAGGGGAGTGGTGCAAGGTGAGAGTGGTGGTGAGTGGTGCAAGGTGGTGGTTTTCTGGTTCACCCGTTTCCCTGTCTCCCTGTGCCTTTGCCCTTTTTCCCTGTCAGGAGTGGGGAGGAAGGGGCGAGCAGCGAACTACCAGGAGCTGAGAGCGCGGCTGCAGCAGCGTGGAGTGGAGGTGTCCTTAATATTTCCATTGCCTCTTTCAATCTTTCCATCGCCTCTTTCCCTGTCCCCCTATTCCCTTGTGCTTGCCAGGAGTGGGCAGGAAGGGGCGAGCAGCAGACTATCAGGAGCTGAGAGCGCGGCTGCAGCAGCGACTGGAGGAGCTGAGGAAGCGGAGGAACGCGGAGAGGGAGACGGGGAGAAATATAGAACCTTCTAGTTCAACCTTTTCCTTGTCTTTCTGTGCCTTTGCCCCTTGCCCCTGTCAGGAGTGGGCAGGAAGGGGCGAGCAGCAGACTATCAGGAGCTGAGAGCGCGGCTGCAGCAGCGACTGGAGGAGCTGAGGAAGCGGAGGAACGCGGAGAGAGCCTCTGCTGCTAGCGAGTGGCGGAAGAAACAGAGGGAGACGGGCGCTGAGGGGGACAAGAAGGGGAAGAAGGGGGGGAAGGAGCGGAAGAAGGGGAAAGGAGGCGTCGGGGGTGGGGGTGAGAGGGAGGGTGCGGTGGTGGGCGGTAAACGGAAGCAGCAGGAGAGGGAAGGGGATGGGGGGAAGGAGGGGAAGAAGGAGCGGATTGGGAAGGAGAAGGGTGGAGGGAAGGGAGGAAGAGGAGGGCTAGTGGGAGCAGCAGCAGCAGGAGGAGGAGGAGGAAGAGGAGGGGGAAGAGGGGAGGGGCATGGGTTAGCAGATGATGAGGTGATTCCTTTGGATCTGGAGTTTGGGCGGGTGAAGCTGGGGGATAAGGCAGCAGCAGGGCCGGGGATGGGAGGCGGGAAGAAGGGGAAGAAGGACGGCGGGAAGGTATCTGCCAAGAAGCTTCTGGAGCAAGCGGCTAAGATTCAGGAGAAGCTCAAGGGGCGGAAGCTGGGAGATAAGGCCTTGGCTGAAGTGGTGAGTTGGTGACTGTGAGGTGAGCGGGAATTGGGGGGGACTGTGGGAGGGCGCGTGGGGTGTGCATGGAGCAAGCGGCTAAGATTCGGGAGAAGCTCAAGGGGCGGAAACTGGGAGACAAGGCACTGGCTGAAGTGGTGAGTTAGTGTGTGTAGGAGCACGTGGGTTTGAGAGCAGGTGACTGGGAGAGCATGAGTGTGAATGCAAGCTCAAGGGGCGGAAACTGGGAGACAAGGCCTTGGCTGAAGTGGTGAGTTGGTGTGAGAGATTGCAAGAATGGGAGACCAAGCTGCTTAGACCGGGAAGAAGGTCAAGGGGCAAAATCCGACAAATAAAGCTTTGGAAGAACTCCCTTTCCCTTCCATACCCATAGTGGAAGACCCGCGTGGTGGAAGACCCTCCTATATTGGTGGAAGATCCTCTTGGTGGAAGACCCTCCTTGTTACCTCACTCTCCTCCTCCTTCGCCTTCCCTTCCCTCATCTTCCCCCAAAAGAGCCACTCGAGCAAAGATTGATGCTTGTAGACATGCTTGTCAACTATTGTTGTTTTTGAGAATTCTCAAAAATACCTTGCAACGAGCAAAGGTTGATGCTTGTGTACATTCTCTTTTCCTTCCACCCGTTCATGCCAATCGTGCTTTTTAACAGGCCCTCCTTCCCTCGCGTGTGCTCCTTTGCCTTCCCTCGCGTGTGCTCCTTTGCCTTCCCTCGCGTGTGCTCCTTTGCCTTCCCTCGCGTGTGCTCCTTTGCCTTCCCTCGCGTGTGCTCCTTTGCCTTCCCTCGCGTGTGCTCCTTTGCCTTCCCTCGCGTGTGCTCCTTTGCCTTCCCTCGCGTGTGCTCCTTTGCCTTCCCTCGCGTGTGCTCCTTTGCCTTCCCTCGCGTGTGCTCCTTTGCCTTCCCTCGCGTGTGCTCCTTTGCCTTCCCTCGCGTGTGCTCCTTTGCCTTCCCTCGCGTGTGCTCCTTTGCCTTCCCTCGCGTGTGCTCCTTTGCCTTCCCTCGCGTGTGCTCCTTTGCCTTCCCTCGCGTGTGCTCCTTTGCCTTCCCTTCTCTCTTGCCACCCCCGTTCCCCAGGAGACCCACCTGTGGAATGCGGCGAGCAGCAGGGCGGCGTGAGGAAAGGTGTTTGGCGATCCAAACATGTCTGTTCTAGTTCTGACCCCCCACCTCTTCTATGCCCACCTGAACCCCATGCTTCCATCTGTCTGACCCATGCCTGTATCGCCTCTCTCTCCTTTTCCAGGAGACCCACCTGTGGAACGCGGCGAGCAGCAGGGCGGCAGGCGGAAAGGTGTTTGACGATCCAAACATGCTCAGCAAGCAGCAGAAGAGGGAGCAGCGGCAGAAGGAGAAGAGCGCCAAGCTATGGTGAGCGGTGGAGTGCGGTGGTGTGTGTTGGGGTGCGTTGTCATGAGGTGGTGTGATGTGAGGGGTGGTGCGGGGTGTGGCAGATGGCACATGGCAGATGGCACATGGCACATGGCAGATGGCACATGGCACATGGCACATGGCACATAACACATGGCATGGTACATGGCACATGGCACATGGCAGTGCGCAAGGTGATGAAGGACTGGCAGGAAAATCGCCGGGGGAGCATGGAAGGGACGTTACTGCATGGCTTGTGCTGCACTAATTGCAGCCCGAAAATGCCGTCTTTTCCCTGCGTTTACATATTTCTATGTTAACAGGAAGGAGAGGCAGATGGCAGTGCGTAAAGCAATGAAGGACAGACAGGACAAGCGCAAGGGGAGGGGAACATGGATGGCAGGCACCTCATTGCATGACTTGTGCTGCACTCACTGCAAACCCGAACATGCTGTCTTATCCCTGCGTGTTTACAGGAAGGAGAGGCAGATGGCAGTGCGTAAAGCAATGAAGGACAGACAGGACAAGCGCAAGGGGAACATTCAGGAGCGAAAGGACAACAAGATCGCTGCTAAGATCGCTCGGGTAGGTGGTGTGAAGTTGAGGGGAGTATAGTGGGTTAGAGTGGTTTTAGTAGGTAGCATACATTCAGCATGGCATTGAGACAGGTGCAAGGGGAACGTTCAGGAGAGGAAGAATGAGATTGCTACTAGGGTCGCACGGGTGGGTGGTGTGAAGTTGAGGGAAGTATAGCGGGTTAGAGTGAGGTAGCATACATTCAGCATGGCATTGGAACAAGCGCTAGGAGAACATTCAGGAGTGGGAGGACAACAAGGTTGCTGCTAAGGTCGCACGGGTAGGTGGTGGGGATTGGATGAGAGTATCGTGGGATAGAGTGGTATCAGTAACACAGCATGCAGCATGGGATGAGAAGGGTGCAGGGGACCATCGAGGAGAGGAAGGACAACAAGGTTGCTTTGAGACGCCTCAAAACACTCCTTCTTTCACGTGCCATCGAGGAGAGGAAGAACAACCAGGTTGCTTTGAGACGCCTCAAAACACTCCTTCTTTCACGTGCCATCGAGGAGAGGAAGAACAACCAGGTTGCTGCTAAGATCGCACGGGTAGGTGGAATGGAGGGAGGGAAGTATAGTGGATGAACGGGTAGGTAGTGGATGGACTTATTGGTTGGTGCGGTAGCAGCAAGCACAGCAGGATGCAGCACAGCCCGGCATTGTGTGGCAAGGTTTTCTACAGCATGGCATGTTCCTGTTGTTGCATGCATTCGCTACATGTGCTTATGTTTTTCATGGTGTTTGAAACGCACTTGTTTTTGTATCTGCAATTGAGTGCAGAGGGAGAAGAAGCTGATGCGGCCGGGATTTGAAGGGCGGGCAGGGGGCACAGCGTTGAATGCTCAAGCAGCAGCACCCACACCATAAGACCACTTGAAGACATTTTTCCTTGCCGTTTCTAGAAACAACCCCTGGGCTTTGAAGGGCGGGCAGGGGGCACAGCGCTGAATGCTAAAGCAGCAGCAGCTACACCATGAGGGTGTTAGCACAGAACTTGAAGAAATATTTCCTTGGTGTTCTCAGAAACACACTTGGGGTTTTCAGGCCAGGCAGGGGATACAGTCACACGAGCCGTGAATGCCTGCCAAGGCGGCAGCTGCGGCTGCACCGTTGGTCAGTGTAACACTGCTGCTGGGAAAAATGTTTCTATTTGGCATTATTGAAATCATTGACTGCACTGTGAAGGCAGCAGTGCACTATGTAGCAGTGTGCATAGCTGCGAAACACACATGCTTTCGCGCTGTTGGAATGTGGCATGTGCGAGTGTAGATCGTTATCAGTAACATACTGAGTCCCATAAACCTGAAACATAATGACCTTGGCAGAAGTAGTCCGTCTCGTTCATCCACTCAGGGAGTGCCTTGAGGCGACTCCAGCCAGTCATCATCACCATTTTAGAGTAACCGTAACCGTAACGCACCATGGTAAAAGATGGATTCTATGTAGTAACAGAGCGGAGCGGCTTCTAGTAACGGAACGACTTTCTAGGGCGGAGGCGGTCGCGCTCATTCATCCAATCAGAGAGCGCCTTGAGACCCACCCCAGCCGCAATCAGCAGCAGCAGGAGTAGGCAAAGGAGAGTGATGATGACGGCCCAGCGCCGCACAGCAGGAGGAATGAACCCCTGGTGATGGGCGGTCAAAGGGGGTGGGCGGAGGGTTGGTTGGGATGGGATGCGCTTTTGAGTCGACTCAAAAGCAGCGCCGCACAGCAGGAGGAATGAACCTTTGGTGATGGGCGGTCAAAGGGGGTGGGCGGAGGGTTGGTTGGGATGGGATGCGTGAGAGAAGAGGGAGTGAGTGAGAGAAGCGAAAGGGGGTGAGTGAGAGAAGCGAAAGGGGGTGAGTGAGAGAAGCGAAAGGGGGTGAGTGAGAGAAGCGAAAGGGGGTGAGTGAGAGAAGCGAAAGGGGGTGAGTGAAAGTGGTGCCTTGAGGCCCACCCCAGCAGCAAGCAGCAGCAGGAGGGGAGGCGATGATGGCGCAGCGCCGCACCTTGTGAGGATGAAACAGCCATGCGATTCACGTGTATGAAGAAGTGTTTTGAGACGTCTCAAAACACTTCTTCATACACGCAGCCTGATTGTGCCATGCGATTCTGTATAAAAGTCTAAAGTAATTAGATAAAGGGCGTGCTTACAAGCAGAGAGGAAGAGGAATCATCTTCCTCGGCTGCTGTCTTCCTTCTTCTCCTTCTTGCTCCCCTCTGCTCATGCCATGTTGTCCCATGACATGCCATACCATGCCATGACATGACATGACATGACATGCCATACCATTCCATATGTCAGTGAAAGGGGTGAAAAAATGATGACATTGCCAAAAATTGCAAGGGAAAGAAGTTAGAAACAGTCTAGAAGTGGCATGGAGCGCAAAAAAACTGGCAAAAGTCACAGCAGCTTCTGCTACAGATTCGGTTTCAAGACTAAGGCAGCTTCTGCAGCAAATTAGGCTGTGAGGCCTTGACACACGAAAGCACTCACTTGCTATAAGCGCTCTCCGTGTAGAAAATGTATCGTGTGCACTCACTTGTAACGAGGTGACTTTTAAGTCGACTCAAAAATTAGGTTGTGAGGCCTTGACACACGAAAGCACTCACTTGCTGCTCCAGCCACTTACAGCAGCATCTGCTTCAGGTCGAATCCTCCCAGCCCTCTGCTACTGCGGCTGCTACTAGCAGTGCCACCTTTATACTATCAATGCAAAAGTCAAACACACAAGACAAGATTATCAACACTCACAGCTGCTTCTGCTTCGAGTCGAAGCCTCTCAGCCTCTGCTGCTGCGGCTGCCTTCCTCTCTGCCTCTCTTTTCTCCTCCGCCTCCCGCCTCTTCCTCTCCTCCTCCTGAATGCGCCGGCACTCGTCGTCACATGGTATCAGCCCTACCCCCACCATTGACTCCCGCAGTCTCCCACCACCACCGCCCCCGCCACTGCTGCTGGCATTGGTGCTGCAGTCTATGCTGCTGGAGGGGTTGCTTGCACCGTTGGCAGCGGCCTTGGCAGTGGCGGATTGCACTTGGGAGCACAGCCACTCTTTCTTGAGGCGCAGGCATGCACAGCGCACCGTGACCTGTGGAATGTGGGAAGTGGGTGGGAAGAAGGCAAGGGAAACATATGATGGAGACAAAGAGCAGCACACAGACATATGGTTGGTTGCAGCTTTGGCAGTTTCGGATTGCACTTGGGAGCACAGCCACTCTTTCTTGAGTCGCAGGCATGCACAGCGCACGGTGACCTGTGGAATGTGGGGCAAACGGGTAGAGATGGAAGGGGAGGGGCGGCATAGAACAAAGGTCCAGTGGTGGGGTTGCTGGCACCGTTGGCAGCAGCTTTGGCAGTGCCGGTTTGCACGTGGGAGCAGAGCCACTCTTTCTTGAGTCGCAGGCATGCACAGCGCACCGTGACCTGTGGAAAGTATAAGTGGACACATGCATGAGGCTATGTTGGCATATACGCGATTTGTGTATTATACGCCAGTGCGTAATACACTGGCGTAAAAGAGATAATCAGGGGGTCCATTCAGTGGGCCAGGATGAGCAAAAACAGAAGCACAGGTGCAACAATTGTGCACACGTGGACCCATGCACACATGCACCCATGCACACATGCACACATGCACCCATGCACCCATGCACCCATGCACACATGCACCCATGCACACATGCACCCATGCACACATGCACATAATGCAGACATCAACAACACACAAGTGCACCAAACAAGCACGGACACGCACAGCCCACTCTCTTGCGGAACTGCGTTGGCTTGGTTGGGGCATGGGCAGGGCTGACACATCACAATCCGTAGCACTTTTGAGGCGCCTCAAAACATGAGACGACTTTTGAGGCGCCTCAAAACATGATTCGACTTCTGAGGCGCCTCAAGAACTGCGTTGGCTTGGGGCATGGGCCGGGCTGGCACATCACAATCAGTAGCACCAACACCTACAAGCACGCTTACATGCAATGCAAGCACGGACACGCACAGCCCACCTTCTTGCGGCATTGCGTTGGCTTGGGACGGGAGCTAGGATAGACACATTTCCACACACATGTGCGAACAGAAGCACTCACACATGCACACATCCAATAATGCCCGTATGCACACACTTGCACACGCGCAAGCATGCACACACTTGCACACGCGCAAGCATGCACACACCCACACCCCACCCTCTTGCGGCACTGCGTGGGCTTGGGCTTGGGGCAGGGGCCAGGGTGAGAGCAGCAAGAGAAGCAGAGATGCACACATGTGCTGACACACGCGTGAACACACGCACACACGTATGCACGCACACACGTATGCACGCACACACGTATGCACACACACACGTATGCACGCACACACGTATGCACACACACACGTATGCACGCACACACGTATGCACGCACACACGTATGCACGCACACACGTCTGCACGCACACACGTATGCACACACACACGTATGCACGCACACACGTATGCACGCACACACGTATGCACGCACACACGTCTGCACGCACACACGTCTGCACGCACACACGTCTGCACGCACACACGTCTGCACGCACACACGTCTGCACGCACACACGTCTGCACGCACACACGTATGCACGCACACCCCACCTTCATGCGGCACTGCGTTGGCTTGGGGCAGGGGTCGGGATGACTCGTTTCCACACACATGTGCGAACAGAGGCACTCACACACAAGCACAAGTGCGCGCACACACAGATGCACAAGTGCACACAAGCACACCCCACCTTCTTGCGGCAGTGAATGGGCTTGGGGCAGGGGTCGGGATGACTCGTTTCCACACACATGTGCGAACAGAGGCATCACACACAAGCACAAGTGCGCGCACACACAGATGCACAAGTGCACACTCCCACAGCCCACCTTCTTGCGGCACTGCGTTGGCTTGGGGCAGGGGCCGGGATGACTCGTTTCCACACACGTGCGAACAGAAGCACTCACACAAGCACACACATGCACACATGCACACACACAAACCCACCTTCTTGCGGCATTGTGTGGGCTTGGGGCAGGGGCCGGGATGACTCGTTTCCACACACATGTGCAAACAGAAGCACTCACACAAGCACACACATGCACACACACATGCACACACACAGCCCACCTTCTTGCGGCACTGAGTTGGCTTGGGGCAGGGGCCAGGGTGACACATTTCCACACACATGTGCGAACAGAACGGCAGCTTCCTGGAAGGTGCAGGGTGAAAGACGAGAGCACAGAGAGTTCAGAAAGGAGGGGATGTCACAGACAGAGTTCGTTACTATGGAGGAGTGTCAATCTCAGAGTAAAGGGGCGGTCGATATTTGCCTCACCCACCTCAACCTGGCAATGAAACACTCACTTGTGCCAGCTCCGTTACTCACTTGTAGCAGCTCCGTTACTCACTTGTAGCAGCTCCGTTACTCACTTGCGGCAGCTCCGCTACTCACTTGCGGCAGCTCCGTTATACCCATTTGTGCCAGCTCTTGTACTCAATTGTGGCAGGGCCCAGTGCCAGACAGCACCTTGACTCTCTCTGCCTCCATCATTGGTTGTCGCTATCCCAAAACCTTGAATAAATGCTTGCAAAACCCTTAAAACTCACTTGTGACAGCCCCGTTATACTCACTTGTGGCAGGGCCCCGTGCAGGAAACCATCTTGACTCTCTCCGCCTCCGTGGCAGCGCCCCATTGGCCGCACTCGATCGCATGGGTCATGATACCACAGTAGCACCGTTTCCTCAAAGGGTTTTTGCACGGCGGGCAGCTGCCCGGATGGCACGGCTCCGGGCAGGGATGCGCGCATGGAGGGTCCCTGGGCTGCCCAGGGAAAGAAAAAGAGGGATAGTTGATGAGAGAAGATGGGATATAACAGGGCTGTTTGTGTGTGAAATTCCACAAGAACCTTGAGAGACGTTGACACATTGTGTGTTCCCTTGAACGCGGCATCCTAGATCTGTAGAATTGAGTTGACAACATGAAGTCTTGAGTACGTACCTCACCTTCTAGACTGCATCCTTGCAACGGAAGAAAGCGATACCAACCTTGAGAAGCGCCATAGAGAAGCATCCTGTACTGAAGAAGAAGAGGAGGATTTGGTGGAAGTCAGAGCCGAAGCTAGGGGAGATCCTGGGGCTGTTGTTTAAGACAATCCACACACTGCTTGCTGCAGCTGTCATGCATTGAGGCTCTCCTTGCGTTTTCAAGAACCCCTCTGAGGCTTCAGCGTCAGAACGGAGAGAAAGAAGAGCCTCAACACGTGGTAGCTGCAGCAAGCGGTGTGTGGATTGTCTGCTTTTGAGTCGACTCAAAAGCAGACTCAACACGTGGTAGCTGCAGCAAGCGGTGTGTGGATTGTCTGCTTTTGAGTCGACTCAAAAGCAGACTCAACACGTGGTAGCTGCAGCAAGCGGTGTGTGGATTGTCTGCTTTTGAGTCGACTCAAAAGTGGATTGTCTTGAACAACAGCCCCAGGATCCCCCCTAGCTTTGGCTCTGGGTTGACTTCCACCCAATCCTACTCGCTTTTGAGTCGACTCAAAAGCAGGCTCTGGGTTGACTTCCACCCAATCCTACTCGTCCTGTTTTAGCACAGGCTGAATATGCTTCTCTATGGCGATGAATACCTCCCGTACGTAGGTTTGGAAGGGAGGATAGTGCAAGGGACCAACCTTCTGACATGGTCGCTTGCAAGGGTAGCATGTGTCACGAGGCAATCTCCTCCCCTCCTCCCCTCCCTCCTCCACCTCCCTCACTCCCCCCTCCTCCTCTCCCTCCCCTGCCACCAACACTCTCTGTCCATCTACGGTTCGCGGGCGGGTGATGACGTGGCATGCCAGCTGGCATGCATGGTTACCGCATGCAAGGGGGTTACCGCAGGGTAGCTCGCACGAGAAGGCAGGGTCGTGTGAGCAGGGGAGCTGGGTGTGGGTGGGGGGTAGAGGGGAGAGGGGAGGGAGCGGGAGGGAAAAGGACCAAAGGGAGTATTAGAAACGCTATTGCATGCAGCTACTTATGAAATTTTCTCAAAAGGGCCGACAGGAGTATCAGAAAAGCTATTGCATGTAGTCACTGCGTGCCAAGGGGCCACCACACCACATGACCAGGGGATAACCCCATGGTAGCTCGCATGAAAAAGCAAGGTCATTGTGAGAGCGGGGGAGCTGGGACGGGTGGGGAAGGGGAAAGGGCAAAAGGAAGAGTGCGAAACGTTACTACTGTGCTGTTACATAGTAGATACACACAGGCAGAGCAAGAGGGTTACCACATGACAGAGAGATGTTGCTGTACGGTTACCACATGCGAAGGGGTACTTGCATGGTGGCTTGCATAAGAAGGCAGGGTCGTGAGAGTAAGAGGCATGGCTATCCCTGCTTCCGCTACCCCTCCTCTCCCTGTTCCTCTGCTTCTCCACTCCACCTCTTTAGACCCCCGCACCGCACCACACACCCCTAGATGCATCTACCTCGCTCGCTGTCCTGCCCCTCCGCATTCTCGCACTACCGGCCGGCACCATATACGCGGGGCACGGCGATCCTGCCTTCCCCTGCTTTCCCTGCTATCACCGCCCTATAGGCACACACTTACCTCACATTCCTGCCCCTGGTGCCTTCCTCCACATTCTCGCACTACCGGCACCACACACCGGGGACAACACGTCCCCGGCTTCCCCTGCCCCTCCTCATCCACCCTGCTACCCCTTGTACCAAACTGACAAACCCTTCCAGGCACCCATAGCACACACACCCAGGGGTCTCACCTCACACCCAGGGGTCTCACCTCACACCCAGGGGTCTCACCTCACACCCAGGGGTCTCACCTCACACCCAGGGGTCTCACCTCACACCCAGGGGTCTCACCTCACACCCAGGGGTCTCACCTCACACCCAGGGGTCTCACCTCACACCCAGGGGTCTCACCTCACACCCAGGGGTCTCACCTCACACCCAGGGGTCTCACCTCACACCCAGGGGTCTCACCTCACACCCAGGGGTCTCACCTCACACCCAGGGGTCTCACCTCACACCCAGGGGTCTCACCTCACACCCAGGGGTCTCACCTCACATTCCTGCCCTCCATGCCGCCCTCTGAATTCTCAAATGCACCACCGGCACCACACAGTGGGGGCACGGCGATCCTGGCTTCCTTTCCCTGCTACCCCTCATTCCACTCCTTCCTGACTAGAGGTAGCCTCTTGCGGAGTAATGAAGGGTTCGAAACGCAGCAAGCCGTGTGGTCGCCTTTTAAAACTTTCAGCTAAGTATGGGTGGGTTGCTTCGTAGGACTAGGAAAAAGGCATGAATGAGGACTTGATAAGTCTCAAAGTAAAAGTACTAAGTAGGCGTACGCGTTTCGGCCTGTGAGGCCTTCATCAGCGCCAGTTAGGATTACAAACACCTGTGAGGCCTTCATCAGCGCCAGTTAGGATTACAAACACCTGTGAGGCCTTCATCAGCGCCAGTTAGGATTACAAACACCTGTGAGGCCTTCACCACCCTTCTAGTCCCTTTTCTACCATTTTTTCCCGTTATCCTCTCAACCCCCCAAGTTCCCTAGGTCTAACCACTACCCAGGCGAAATCTGCCCGAACCACACAAGGCTGCCAACTTGGATCAGCATGGGACTACTCGAGAAATTCCCGAAGGCCCAAGGGAACTTCACCGCAAAACAGTAGGTGAGTCCGCTGTAGTGGGATTCACTGTAGAAAAGCGAGCCCTAACCAAACGTTTTGTAACCGTGTAGGTAACTTCCAACACACCAGAACCGGAGGGATTTGTAGGCCAGCTATATTGGAGTGACTTTTGAGAATTCTCAAATGCACCACCGGCACCACACAGTGGGGGCACGGCGATCCTGGCTTCCTTTCCCTGCTACCCCTCATTCCACTCCTTCCCTGCTACCCCTCATTCCACTCCTTCCTGACTAGACTCGAGGCAGGCACTTACCTCACATTCCTGCCCCTGGTATCTTCCAATGCACTCCCGCACCACCAGCACCACACATGCAGGGTACGGGGACCGCCGGCTTCCCCTGCTACCTACCCCACTTGTACCTTTCCAGGCACCCACACCACACAACCCCAGGGGCCTTACCTCGCACTCCTGCCCCTGGTGTCTTCCTTGGCACTCCCGCACCACCGGCACCACACACGCGGGGCACGGCGACCCAGGCTTTCCCTGCCGCTCCTCTGCTTCATCTGCTTCCCCACTCTCCCTTCCCAGTGGAGACTTACCTCGCACTCCTGCCCCTGGTGTCTCCCTCTGCATTCGCGCACCACCGGACCACACATGGCGGGCACGGCGACCCTGGCTGTCCCTTCTACCCCACTAGAGACACCTACCTCGCACTCCTGCCCCTGGTGTCTTCCTCTGCATTCGCGCACCACCGGACCACACATGCAGGGCACGGCGACCCTGGCTGTCCCTTCTACCCCACTAGAGACACCTACCTCGCACTCCTGCCCCTGGTGTCTCCCTCTGCATTCGCGCACCACCGGCACCACACATGCAGGGCACGGCGACCCTGGCTTTCCCTGCTGCTCCTCTCTACGCTCCCACACCCCTAGAGGCTAGAAGCACCTACCTCACACTCTTGACCCTCATGCCGCCCTCTGCACTCGCGCACCACCGGCACCACACATGGGGGGCACGGCGACCCTGGCTTCCCCTGCCCCTCCTCCTCCTCGCCCTCCTTCTTCCCTTTCTTCTTCTTCTTGGGTGGTTCAAGGGAGAAAGGAGGGTTGGGAGGCGGGCGGGGGCCGTGGCACCTGGCGGTAGGAAGGGGAGTGAAGAACAGTGGTAAGAATATGAGCATTATATTGTCCTCCTCCTCCTCGCCCTCCGTCTTTCATTTCTTCTTCTTGGGTGGTTCAAGGGAGAAAGGAGGGTTGGGAGCCGGGCGGGGGCCGTGACACCTGGTGGGAAAGGAAGGAAGGGGAAGGAAGGGGAAGGAAAGGGAGGGGAAGAGGGGGGAAAGGGAGGGGAAGAGGAAAGATCAGTGAGAAGGATCTCTCCTCTCTCTCGATGCATCGAATCGAATCATCCTCCTCCTTAACCTTCTTCTTCCCTTTCTTCTTCTTTCTAGAAGGCTCACTGGAGAGACGGGCCGGCTGGGAGGCGGGGGGGTGTGGTCGTGCCACCTGGTGGGGGGGAAGATTAGCAGCGTTGTAAGCTTCCAATGATGATGAAAAAAACACCTGAGAAGACACCTGAGAGAACATCTGAAAAATCACCTGAGGGGCATGAAGCGCACCTGAGCGGGCAGGAGTGGCCGCAGTCAAAGGGCTCGCCGCAGGGGAGGCTGCAAGGGGGGCACGCCCCGTAGTGACAGCGATGCGGCTGTGATTATAAGGGGGGGAAGGGGATGGCAAGGGGGGGGAAGGGCTTGTATTTGTCGCCTGGGGTGTGCCCTCCTTGCAGAAGAGATGGCAGAAGAGATGGCAGCAGAGATGGCAGCAGAGATGTGCATACAGGGGAGGGTGCATGCAGGGGAGGGTGCATGCAGGGGAGGGTGCATGCAGGGGAGGGTGCATGCAGGGGAGGGTGCATGCAGGGGAGGGTGCATGCAGGGGAGGGTGCATGCAGGGGAGGGTGCATGCAAGGGAGGGTGCATGAGTCACTCACCCGACAGGAATCCCCGTGGTGGCATGTGGGGGGCACGGGGCAGCGCATGTGGCACCTGGGAGGGCGCTGCTGCTTCTCTGCTCCACAGGGGACCTGAGAGGCATGGAGGGGAGAAGGGAAGGGAGCGAGCGAGCATATGAGGAGAGAGGGCAACCAGGGTCCGGGGGTATGGAGCAGTGCATGTGGCATCTGGGTGGGCGCTGCTGCTTCTCCGCTCCACAGGGGACCTGAGAGGCATGGAGGGGAGAAGGGAAGGGAGCGAGCGAGCATATGAGGAGAGAGGGCAACCAGGGTCCGGGGGTATGGAGCAGTGCATGTGGCATCTGGGTGGGCGCTGCTGCTTCTCCGCTCCACAGGGGACCTGAGAGGCATGGAGGGGAGAAGGGAAGGGAGCGAGCGAGCATATGAGGAGAGAGGGCAACCAGGGTCCGGGGGTATGGAGCAGTGCATGTGGCACCTAGGTGGGCGCTGCTGCTTCTCCGCTCCACAGGGGAGGGGACCGGGGAGGCATGGAGGAGCGAGGGGAGGGAGGTAGAGGGGTCTGCGTATGAAGAATAAGGGGAATGAGCGGCACAGCACCCACTGATAGGGGCATGGCGAGGCAAGGCATGTGGCACCTAGGTGGGCGCTGCTGCTGCTTCTCTTCTCCACAGGGAACCTAAGAGAGCGATGGAGAAGAGAGGGGGGAGGGAGAGGAGGTAGAGGGGGCAGCATGGATGAGGTGCACAGCATGCACTGTGAAGGGCAGTGCATGTGGCACCTAGGTGGGCGCTGCTGCTTCTCTTCTCCACAGGCCACCACCTGAGAGAGGCATGGAGAAGGGAGGGAGAACTGGGAGAGGGCAGAAAAAACAAGAGGGGAGAGCAATGAAAGTTGTAGTACATCCAACAACAAACAAGAGAAGACGAGGGTGAGATGACGAGAACGAGCCTACAGAGTTCTTATTTAGAAATCGGATGTGGAGAAGTCCAGAAAAAAAAAAAACAAATTCCTGAAAAGAGTATTTTGCAACCCAACCAAGCTTAAAATGCAATAGAGAGAGCGTGACTCACGGAAAAAGCAGTGGTGCCACAGAAGCATGCAATGCGCACTGTAACAGGGCAGGGCGCACAGGGGCCGCTGGAGGGGTGGGAGGGAGAGAGGAAAGCAAAGAACTAAGACATCGCTAAGAGAAGTGGGAATTCAGGGAACCAAGGCATCGGGAAGAAGTTGGAAAGCATGGACAGCAAGCAGGCAACGCATGGGGTGAAGGTAGGCGGGGAAAGTTACAGGGAGAGAGGTACAAGGCACTGTGAAAGGGGTTAGATGAGAAAGGGAGGAGGGCAGTGGCACTGTTAACGGAAGTTGGGGGCTTAGCTGACCTGTGGCAAGGAGCGGGACACTTGTGGTTACCACACCGTAGCTTGCGACCGCACACCTGCACACAGAAGCATGAAGAAATAAAAGCTTAGCGTAAGACCCCCGGGAACAGAAATCGACGCGTGCAAGAGAAGGGGATAAGAGCAAAGAAGAGAGTAACAAGAAGAACAAGTGGCGTGCAGATGCCACTTTCTGCCCTTTGAGTCAATTCAAAAGCGTGTGGGACTTTTGAAATGACTCAAAGGTCACCTCGTTACACTGGCACACCACACGCTTTCAGTCGACTCAAAAGTCGAGAGTCGCCTCGTTTTGAGTCGACTCAAACGAACAAGTAGCACGCAGCCAGCCTTGCAGCCTCATGTGGGCACGAAGCACTTGCATGCAGGAGGGCAGTTGGTTGGACGGAGTACCGCAGCTCACAGTGCCACTTCTTTCCCCCTTTACTCAACTCACAGGAGGATGTATCTAGTCTCAGTGGGCTGCAGTGTGTTTTTTAGGCGCCTCAAAACTAGCATCAGTGGGCTGCGGTGTGTTTTTTAGGCGCCTCAAAACTAGCATCAGTGGGCTGCGGTGTGTTTTTTAGGCGCCTCAAAACTAGCATCAGTGGGCTGCGGTGTGTTTTTTAGGCGCCTCAAAACTAGCATCAGTGGGCTGCGGTGTGTTTTTTAGGCGCCTCAAAACTAGCATCAGTGGGCTGCGGTGTGTTTTTTAGGCGCCTCAAAACTAGCATCAGTGGGCTGCGGTGTGTTTTTTAGGCGCCTCAAAACTAGCATCAGTGGGCTACGGTGTGTTTTTTAGGCGCCTCAAAACTAGCATCAGTGGGCTACGGTGTGTTTTTTAGGGACAGCACCTTGAGACACACAACACAACAGTATACCCTGAGACCAGTCAGCGAGAACCCTCACCTCGGGGCAGGGGGGGCAGTCGCCAGCACAGCAGCGGCGCTTGCACAGGTGGCGCCCGCACGGCCTGCCACGCTGGCAGCGGCGATCACACAGATACTCCTGGTGGCAGGGGAGCTGATGGGTTTGGAAAGAGAGCAAGCAATAATTGGAGGAGGGAGAAGGGAGAGGCTGTGTTGGGGTGCAAAGATCATTGACAAAATGAATCTCACGGCCTGTCACACTGCCAGAGGCAATTGCACAGGCATACCTAGCTGGTTGGGGCCGAGAGGAGAAGGACGAAGAGAGCGGGTGTGATGGATGGGAAAGGAGTGTTAACTGAATTGACCCACTGCACTGCACCGCACCGCACTGCCTGTCCCACTGGCAGCAGCGATCAAGTACAAGCCGACACTTCCTTACTCAGTCCGCCGCACTGACACCCCTTGACCACCACAATCATACAAGTTACAAGCACTCCCCCACGTGATGCATCTTCTCCGTACGCACATGTCATGCAATGCTTTGCAATACCATGCACCCAGATTAGGCACAACAAGCACCTTCTCGTTATAAGGCTCTCGCTCACCTCTTTACTGACTCTGCCACACCGGCACCCCGTCACCACCACAATAAGGCAGGGTTTAAGCACACGTGGCGCATCTCTTTACCACACACACATGTCATGCAATGCCATGCAACGCAATGCAGCAGTACAGGGCAAGATAAGCACCACTTTGTTATAAGCCTCTCCCTCGCCTCTTTCGTCACTCCACCGTACCAGCACCTCTTCACCACCGCAAGGGGGGTTTTCGAACACTCCCCCACGTGACACCTCTCCGCACACACACACACACATCCCATGCGATGCACCAACCCACTCAGGGGAGTGGTTTGATTCAACTCAGACACACAAACTCCCCTTTCCTTACAAGGATGACGTCTGAGACGCCTCAAAAGTAGTCACAACCACTCCCCCCCGCTCTCTATCCTTTCCTTTCTTACAGGGATCTCAACTCTTTCGTCACTCCGCCGCACCGGCACCCCTTCACGACCACAATAAGGCACGTCTTGGAGCACTCCCCCACATGGCACCGCTCCACACACACGTGCCATGCATGCATGCACCGATGCAACCGAGTCCATCCTAGTATTCTCACCTCTTTAGTCACTCCGCCGCATCGGCACCCCTTCACCACCACAATCAAGCAGCTTTTCGAGCACTCGCCCACATGACACCTCTCCGCACACACGTGCAATGCAATGCATGTACCCACACAACCAGCTTTTCATAACAAGCCACTCACCTCTTTAGTCACTCCGCCGCACCGGCACCCCTTCACCACCACAATAAGGCACGTTTTCGAGCACTCCCCCACGTGACACCGCTCCACACACACGTGCCATGCATGCATGCACCGATGCAACCAACAGTCACAGGAGTCTCACTCACCTCTTTCGTCACTCCGCCGCACCGGCACCCCTTCACCACCACGATAATGCACGTTTTCGAGCACTCCCCCACGTGGCACCGCTCCGCACACACGTGCCGCCCGCAAGCCAAAGGCTTTTCGCACGTCGCCCCACAGGGAAGCGCCTGCTTGTCACAGGGTAACCCCTCGTACGATTTCTTCCCGCACGGGCAGCTTCGCCTGCCCGAAAGCGGGCATTCGCCGCAGTCCCCCGCATGGCACTCCACCTCGCACTTGTGCCGCCCGCACGGAAACTTTTTCCCGCAGATCTTCCCGCAGCTGAAATTTCTTTTTGCGCAGGGAAGGGTTTTTTTTCACCTGCCCGCATCGGCAAGAAAAGCTTCCCTCTCGATCGCAGGGCGGGCAGCTACCCGGATGACACGTGGCGTCGCAGGAGTGGATGCCGCAGGCGAGGCGGCTGCCGCAGCGGGCAGCGCAGGAAAATTCATGCTGCCCGCAGCGGCAAACATCCTCTTTCTTGCCACAGTGGCAGCAGGAGCGAATGAGCTGGGGACACGGGGGACAGGGGCCGGGGTGACACAGCAACGTGCATTTATGACCACACGCCACGTCAGCTTCCCTCTCCGCCTCCCCTCCCCCTCCTCCTCCGCCTCCGCCTCCCCCTCCTCTCAGCTCTCTCACACAGGGTTCCCCACAAGAATGGGGGGCCAGCCAGGGATCAAAGGGGGGATCCTTCACCCGCCCGCAGTAGCATTGGTATTCCCGAGGCAGATCACGCTCAGGATACTCGGTTCGGCACTTGGGGCAGTGCCACGTGGCAGCTACTGGTTGGCCCTTAGAGGAGGAGGAGGAGGAGGAGGAGAGAGAGGAGGCTTGGATTCCCTGTCTAGCCCACGACTGAATACAGACAAGATGGAGTGAACAGTAACAGCCGCCCCGGCAGGACCAGATCGGATCTGAGGATCTGATCCTCTCCAGGCACACCAGACAGCTGGCGCCGCCCGATTGGACGGCGTTCAGGTGGTCCCGGATCTTCTCCAGACCTGCTGTAAAAGTAGGATCGGCAGAAACAGGTTCGGAAACGCCACTCTCCGCCCTCCCCCCTCCTCCTCCGCCTCCCCCTCCCCCTCCCCCTCCCCCCCCTCCCTGCTAGATAAGCCCCGAAAATCGCCTCTTCTAGCCGTTCCACACTAGCCTTCCCCTTGGATCGCCCTCCCCCTTCCGCGCCTTCCCCCTCCCCCTCCGCGTCCGCCTCGTCCCCCTCCCCCTCCTCGTCGCTGCTGTCAGAGAGCAGCGCGGGGAACTGCTGCGCCAGGCGCGCGGGGTCCGTGATGAAGGGGAGCGGGCGCATGGCGGAGGGGAACGCGGAAGGGAACGCGGAAGGCTGGGAGACCACGGCGGAAGTGGGGAATCCGCCAGCGGTAGGAGCAGCGGAAGACGAAGTGGAACTGGCGGCGGCGGTGCTGCTAGCGCTGTTGCTTGCGGTACTACTATTACCCCCCATGCTACTATAAGTACCCATGCTACGGTTCGGTCCCCACCCCCCTGCTCCCCCGCCTCCAGCACCGCCGCCCCTGCCTGGTCCGCTTCCGCCTGTGCGCGCATCCCCCCCTCCCCTTCCGCTTCCCCCGGCTCCGCCAGACCAGTTGGAGCTTGCGCCAATGCCCGCGCCGGCTCCTCCGCCAGCTACCCCCCCTCCGCCCGCTCCCCGCCCGCGTCCGCCTACAGTCCCGCCGCCGTCGCTAGCGCCCCCGCCCCTGCCTCCCCCTCTTTTCGCGCCACGCCCGCCGCTTCCCCCTCCGCGATCTCCTCCGCCACTTCCGCGGCCCTGCGCTGCCGCGGGCCCGCTAAACGCGGGGTTTGGCCCGAGAATTCCGGAAGACGTGAGTTGCGGTCGAAGCAGTTGCGGCGGCTGCTGGCGCTGCGGCTGGCGCGCGCCTCGTCCGCGTCCCGCCTGACGAGACGGCACCTCGCTCCACTCCCCGTCATCCATAGTTACGAGAGGTAACGCGTCAAAAAATACCGGATTAACCCTGCACTAACAGCTATTCCTCTCACTCCATTCGCCGTCGTCCATTGCTACGAGAGGTAACGCGTCGAGATCCGTTTTATCCCTGCATTATCCGTGTTACCCTTCGCTCCATCGCAACGCTTCACGCAGAGGGCGTAAGGAACCGCATTCATAAAAGGCAAGTACTTGATAATGCACCATAAGTTTTTGTGTCTATAATATTACAGCTATCTTATAAGAACAGCTCTCGTAGCTCAGTTGGTTAGAGCGTATGGCTGTTAACCATAAGGTCGGTGGTTCAAGCCCACCTGGGAGCGCTCTATCACACCTCTTGCTTTTCTCCAAGGCCAATGATTAGTTCAATCAGACCAACAAGTTTTTGGTGTTCAACGAGGCCCTTGTTCGGCTGGGGCGCATCGAGCTCAGGCTCGGAAATCGGCTGCAGGAAAACAATCACCCTCAATCTTTCCTAGACGATCGATTGAGAGGTTATCAAGCCTCGAGATAAGCGGGTTGCTGCCAAACCTGAGCGCATCAAAATGCCTGTCGGATGGGCTTTTTTTTGCTAGCGTTGTTTACCATATGTTGGTTCCATGAAATTGTCTCTTCTAGCAAAATGACGCACCATTGATGTGTGCATGGTGCGTCATCGAAAACCTGCACCATGCGGCGGATCAGTGATACGGGGCACCCTCACCGTGCCCCGATGTATCCTCCTCCCCTACTCCATCTCCCTCCTCCTCTCATGACCTCTCTCACCCTGCCGTGCTTCTGCATCACTGACTTGGCCATCCCAATTTCGCTACTCTCCGCACCGCTGTCACCTCTCACCTCCTTGACAGCCTCCCTGCCACCCTTCCTCCTCTCCCCTCCTCCTTCGCTCCCCCCTGCACATCCTGCAAACATGGCAAGCTCAAATAGTCCCCCCATCCAAGCCATCCCTCCTTTGCTGCAGCTCCGCTCGACCTTATCCACATGAATTTGTGGGGGCCCTCTCCCTCCCCTTCCCGCCAGGGGCACCGATACATGCTTGTCTTGGTCGACGACCACAGCCGATATTCCACTGTTTTCCGTTTTCACACAAAGGATCAGGCCCCGCCTGTGATCATCACCTGGGTTGAGCAGTGCTGCACCCACTTTAAACTCCCCATCAGCCGCCTTCGTTCAGATCGTGGGGGTGAGTTTCTCAACCGCACCCTCTCCTCCTACTGCAAAACCCACAGCATTCAACAGGCCCACACCCTTCTCCACTCCCCTCAGAAGAGCGGTGTCGTCAAGAGTCGCATTCGTGAGATCACCAAGATCGCTCGCTGCCTTCTTACTTACGCCTCTACCCCACCTTCCCTCTGGAGTTATGCCCTCCTTCATGTCGCTCTCCTCACCAATCTCCGCTCCCACCCCCAGAGTCCCACCACCTCCCCCACAGAGCTTTGGTTAGCTACCAAGCCCGACGTTGCTGGCCATCGCGTTTGGGGCTGCAAGGCATACATTCTCATTCCTCAACCTGACCGCGCTGCTGGTAAGCTCGCATCTCGTGCCCTGGATTGCGTCGACCTTGGGCACAACCGCGACTCTTCCGGCTACCTGTTCCTTCACCCTCAATCCGGTCGTCTCACTCGCAGCATGACATCGTCTTTGACGAATATGATCCCTATTACTCCACTCCTCCACTTGACCCTCTTCCCCCTTTGCTTGGACCGATAGTGTCCTCCCACCCCTCCTTCCTCCCACACCCCTCCTCCCACATGTCGATGTTCTGCTTCGTCCTCCCTACTCCGCCGATATCTACGACCTTGCCGCCCCTGCCTCCCCGGCCCATTCGGCGCCCCACCCTCCCCCCTCTCCATTCTCCTCCGCCCCAGCAACAGTGGCAGTGGTGGGGGAAGCAGTAGCTGCAGCAGAAACAGTTGTGGGGGCAGCAGTAGCTGCAGCAGCAACAGCAGCAGCAGGGGCGTCACACTTAGGCGTAGCCGCCCGTTCCTCCTCTTTTCTCCTCCCTCGCATGCACACCCGCTCCCTTGACCCCACTCTCAGCCCCCCACCTCCCTCCTCCCTCCAGCTCCTTGAGGACTGCTGTAAGGAGTTCCTTGACGTTCAACTGTATACCCCATTCCTTGCCCCGCTCTTTCCTGATTTCCTCGGCTTTCCTGACCTTGGCGCTACCTCCTCCCCCACCATCTTCACTCCCACCACCTTCCAGAAGGCCATCACCTGCCTTGATGCGGACACATAGATTCCGGCGATCTTCCAGAGTTGTGAGGCGTTCATCCGCAACACCTCCTTTGTCGACGTTCCTCTCCCGGCCGGTGCCAACCTCGTAGAGGGCAAGTGGGTATTATGGGTGAAGCAGTTGGCGGGCGAGGAGTCGGTCTACAAAGCCCGCTACAACGCCAAGGGCTTAACAAGGACTTGGATTGTGGATTTCTGGGCTACCTTCGCCCCCACCGCCAAACCTCCCACACTTTGGTGCGTCCTTGCATTGGCGCCCGCGACAATATGGAGATATGTTTCATGGATGTCTCCAACGCCTTCTTGTAAGGTGATCTGCACGAGTGAATCTTCCTGCGGTGGCCTCCTGATTTCCATGCTGCTTTCCTTGCAGACACCGTATAGCAGTTGCGTCGCCCGGTCTATTGCTAGAAGCAAGCGCAAAGGGAGTGGACTGCCAAACTATCCGCCACCCTCAGTCCCTTGGCTTCTCTGCTTCTCACTCTGACGCGAGTCTCTTCATTCGCTCCTCACCTCGTCGGTTCTTCGTTTCGGTATATGCCTACAGCATGATACTGCTTGCTGATTCCAAGGCCAAGCTCGCCCCACCCCCCCCCACCCTCCTCCTCCTCTTACCCCTATCTCGAGCTCGTTGGATCGCTCAATAGCGGCCGATGCCAACTTGGCTGACATCTTTACCAAGGCTCTACTTCGCCCTGCCCATCCGGCTCTTCTGCATCTCATTGGCCTTGCCCGCCCGGGCGCCCCTTAATTTAAGGGATGTTCATTACTAGCCTTAACATGCTATGTGACTGTACACCAAATGTGGTGTATAGTTGGGTTGGGACAACACCCAACTTTGGGTGTAGTCTTGCACTCGGGGTGCCAATCCAACCCAATTATGGTGGAGCCCCCAAATTGGAACCATTTGGTCCTTAGGTTGACAACTTCTTTGGAAGTTGCCAGCCCAACCCACTTGGCCATAGGTTGGCAACAATTTCTCAAGAAGTTGCCAACCCAACTCACTTGGCCACACGTTGGCAACACCCTCCCAGGTGTTGCCAAACTAACCCAATGGGCCATTGGGTTGGCAACACTCCCCCAGGTGCTGCCAAACTAGCCCAATGGGCCATTGGGTTGGCAACACTCCCCTAAGCGTTGCTAAACTACCCAATGGGCCCTCCATTTCTAAGCCTCAACCATCATCTGCTCCTTATCAGCAACCCCAGTCAACGTCAGCGTCGGAACTAGACTTGAAAAAATGGAAGGAGGTTCTCTAGCAGGTTCTTAAGGACACCCTTCCTGTTCCCCCGTCTTCATCTCAACCTCAAACCTCTCACCCTAGGCCTTCGTCTTCACGTGACCATCCCTCACCTACCTTAGCCCCTGCTCCAGTTACCACAGCAGATGCATTTGACTCCATGGCCCCTGCAGACGACTCGCACCCGCTATCACTCCACGAAAACACTTCTTCTTCGCAACCCCCTCCTAGTTCCTCTACCCCTCCCCCTCCCCCTCCCACATCACCCTCTACCCCCCCCCCCCCACCGTGCCTTCTCCCTTCAATCCTCCTCCCACTGCCCATTCTTTCTCCTGCCCTACACCTCGCCATCCTTGTGCTAATCTGGTGCCTTGGCTCGCCATACCAATTCCTGTTAGCAAAACTCTGCTGCAAGACAACAAGTTGGGTGTCCTCCTCCTCGCCCCGCCCCCCGTGCTCAAGCTGCAACTGCACAGTCCTCCTCTCCGCCGGCAATTCCTTCCGCCACCAGGGATGTTGTCCTTGAGTGGGATTGGCCTGCCTTCTTTAGCCCTACAGTTTCTCCTGGACCCATCCTTCACCGTATTCCTCCTCGCATTCGCCTTCTCGTGCTTGATGCCTTGCCTATCTCCCTAGGACGTTTGTGCAACATCCTTCTGACACTACTGCACACCTTATTATGCTTACTTTCCCGCGCCTCGTCCTTCGCTTGACTGCCACAGCACCCTCTCAATCGCTTACTTCAGCATGCGCACTTCAAGCTCAACGCTTCATTAGCGGTGATTGGCATGCTCTCTTCCTCGAAGCCTCCGCCGCTTCTACACCCGCTGCGCACCCCCTTGCCCTTGCTTCAGCTTGCTCTACAGCCACCCAAGCACACCTTTATCGAGCTGCAGGGTTTGCTAAGTGTGGGGACTGGTCCCGCTCACTGCCTGCGCTAGAAGCTGGCGAACTCGCTCCTCCTTCTTCTGAGACAATTTCATCCCTCTCCTCGAAACATCCGCCTTCATCGGAACCCCTCCGCCAATGGATTTCCACCTTCACCCCAGATTCTTACCCGCAGCTTTCTGCTCCACCCCTCCACTTGGCTCTTCGATCGACCCCACGGGGAACCGCTGCTGGCCCTTCAAGTTGGTTGATCGAGTATCTCAGGGACACATTCCTTACTACCCTGCAGCACCTTCCCTCCCTCCTTCGCCTCTTCTAAAACTGGTTGCAGGGCGACCTTCCACCCTCAATCCATTCATATTACAGCGCATCCACTCTTGTAGCCCTCAAGAAGTCGCAGGGTGGGATCCTGCCGATCGCTATAGGAGAAGTTCTCCCACGTCTTCTTTCCCGCTGCATCACCCTCATGTTCAAGCAGCAGCTGCGAGACACCTTCCTCCCCTGCCTTCAGTATAATATGCCTTTTTTCTTCATCCTCATTGGGCGGTGCTTCAGCTTGACGTCGTAACGGCTTCAACTCCTTCATCAGGACTGCCATGTTCGAGGCCCTCCGGTCCTCAGCCTTCTCTCCTCTCATCCCCTACTTCCGCCTCTCCCCTCCCCCCTTCACTACCGCAACAGCCCAACCCTCCATAAATTCGAGTCCGCCTCAGGCGTGCGCCAGAGAGGACCCGTGCGGTCCCTTTATTTATGCCCTCACCCAGCAGCTTGCCATTCTTCCAACTCAAAACCAGTTTCCATCCATCTTCATCTCCTCCTACGCTAAGGACACCTTCCTTGCCGGCCCTCCCTCAACACTTACCACTACCTTTGCTGCACTAACCGGCCGCCTCCATTCCTTAGGTCTCACAGTCCAACCCTCGAAATTCTCTATCTGGTGCCCTCTTGGCTGGCCTCACGACTGTGCAGCCCCTCTGGGAATTCATGAGGGGTTCATCTGATCTCCTCTCGCAACTCTTCGAGACCAGTTTCTACAAGCGAATTTCCGTCATCCACCAGCGCGAGCAGGACCACACAATTTGTAGGCGGGCACAGGTTCGGTTCCACCGTCAGGACCAGCACCAACCCTTTGGAGGTTAACCCTCTGTTGGCGGCGAACTTTGCGTACATATGGGTCGACTTTTGAGCCACTTAGAAGCGAGACTACCATTGCCGCTTCCTTTGCGTAGCTTCTCTTAAGTAGCTTCGTAGACCTTACGATCCATGTACCTTTGTATTTCTTATATTGTCAATAAAGACAGTATCTTCCCTTCGTTCTTTTCCAACTCTCTCTTCACCCTATGTATTTTCTCCTCCTAATCTAATGAAGTAATTGGTCCATTTTCATTCTCACAATCATCACCCCAACTAATCCTGGAATATGATTAAGGATTCAACTTTGAGCCTGTCAACGGGAGTTGTTGTTGGCCCCGTCCTCGCTTGGGCGGAGCCGACTTCGTGGTTGGGTGTACGGGAGGTACAACCGACTTGCAGCAGTGGGCGACGCCGACTTGGGCGAGCTGGTCGACGGGGTTGGTCGACTTGTACGGGGCCACTACAATGCCGCTGACTTGGGAAGCCGGCGGCCGACATCAACTGGTGGTCGGCGATGTGGCGCGTCGACCTGGAAGT